TTTTAAATATTTTTTTAATATTTTTTTAATACGTTAATTAATTTATTATATATTACTTTAATTTTTCCTTTTATTATTTTTTATTATTTTATTTCTCTAATTAATTTTACGGGTTATAATATATATAAAAGTATTACTTTATAAACTTTTTTAAAAATTATAAATATATACTTTTTTACTATTATATTAAGTTCATTTAAATTAGCTTTTTTTTAATGTTTAAATTTATAACTTTCCGTACTTAATTCTAATAATAATTACTTAACAGTATTTTTCTATTAATTTATTTTTAAGTTATTAATTTTTAATTAAGGTTTTTTTAAGATTATATTATATTAAATATTTATAATATTAAAGGAAATTAAATAATCTTTTTATTAAATTCGGATTAAAAGATTTATAATTTTTTATTTAATTTATCCTTTATTATATTTAATTAATTATTTATTAATTATTAATTTTTAATATAGTAATTCTTTTTTTTAATAATTAATTAAGTATTTATTAATTATATTTAAATTAATAATATTTATTAAATATTTATAATTAATTAATATTTAAAACTTTTAATCTTTTTATTTTATTATAATATATAAGTAATTATTAATAATTTTAATTGTATTAAAGTTTATAAAGTTATTTTCTTTATTAAAGTTTTTTTTTCGAGTTAATTTTATTATTTTTTTATAAGTTCTATTAAAAACTTATTAAATACCTTTATATTTTCATATTATTTTATACATTTTTTTAAAGTAATAAATTTATAAATTATATGTATTTAATATTTATATTAGTTATAATTTTCTTATATTTTTTTATAATATGTGTACTCTCGAAATTTATTTTCTGTTAAAAATATAATATTAAAAATTATGTTATTTATTTATATGTTTTTTAAAAGAGTTAATTCGAATTTGATTTGGACTTTATTAATATTCTTATATTAATATATAAGTAAATATTCTTTAACCGATTTAAGCTAAAATCTTATATTTTTTTTTAATTAAGTTATATATTTAATAATAATTGTAAAAATATAATATTTAAAATATTTTATAATGTTTTTCATATTTTAGGTTTTATTATAAATTATAAATATATATTTTTAATTTTAAATTAAGTTTTTTAATATTAAGGATAAGGATTTATTTATTTATATTTAAAAATCGCTTAATTTTTATAGCTTTTTATAAAGTATATATAATTTTTAAAATATTAATTTTTATAATTCTTAAATTAATTTAAATAGCTAGTACTTTCTTTTTTTATATTTTAAAATATTTATTAATAATTTACGCAATAAATTCTTTTTTTATATATATAATCTTTTATTTTTATAATCCTTTAATAATTAAGAAATATTATATTTTTAATTTTTATAATTGGATAAGTGTTATAATAAAAGGAATTAAAGTTATTTAATTTATTAAGAATATGTAAAACTTTTTATTTTACTTTTTCTCTTATTTAATAATGCGTTTTTAAATATAAATGCAATTATTTTTAATTAATTATTTTAAATTTATATTTATAATACCGTTATTATATATTTAATAGTTTATTATCTATTATTTTATCTTATTTAATTTATAAAAAAGCCATTTGTTTTTTTATTATTTTATAATAATTTTTTATTTGTTTATAAATTTTATAACTTTATAAAACCTATTTTTATTATAATTATTTTGTTAAGTTATTATTTATAATTTTGTCACGAACCAACAGCACGGGAACCATACCTTGTATGGAAGCGGGGATCTCGAAACGTACGATCCCAGGAACGGATAAACTACGGGTAAAACGTATTGGAGGGAAGTGATCCTGGTGATCCTGGTGATCTTGCAGGATCACTAGAATCAACAGGATCATCAAAGGGCACGATAACCTCAGAGGACGGGGAGGTCTACGGGTACTTAAAAACCATCATGTATCTAGACATTCATTTACGTTTCCTTAGCTATCAATCTAAGTCTTATATCTAACCCATATAAGAGGAAGGACTCCAAGCCTTCCTGACGAACACTTTCAACGTTTTATTGACACTTGACCCGTATCGCTACTGTTTACCTAAAATCAAGACCCCTGTTACTACACTCTAACGGACCTGAGTGTAGGTTCGTCACAAATTTTTCTTTTAAATTATTTTTAATAGTTTTTAAAGGTATTTAAACCTTTGGTTTATAATTATACCATTTTTTAATATAATTTAATATACCTTATAAACAATCTTTATTTATATTTTATCTTTTTTCGGTTTTAATAAATAATAAATATTATTAAAATATAAATTAATTTTTTATTTACTTTTTTTCTTTATTAAAATAACGTAAGTAATTTTATTAATTATATTTGTAAATATTCTTTTAAAAATAATAATTATTAATAATAATATAATTCTTAATATTTTAAGTAATTTGGAAAATTTAAATATTAAATATTTTTAAAAATACTGTTTTTATAATTTAAGATTTTAATTATTCCTTTAGTACTTTAAATTACCTTTAAAATATTTTATAATTTTTAAATATATAATTTATTTTGTTACAATTATAACATTTTATTTTAATTATATTTTTTTTAGTTTTTTTATTTTAACGGCATTAAGGCTTACTTTTTTAAATTCTTTTTTAATATGAGTAAAAATAAGCTTTTTAATCTTTTTCTTTTGAAACCTTTTGATGGTTGTGTGACATCGGCGCATAAGCACCTTATCCCCGATAAGGTGCCTTATCGCCAATACTGGAGGGAGAAACAGTGTACCTTCTATTATTGTATAAAAGGACATCACATTGTTAGCTAGCCTCAGATAGATTCTTCCCTCCTTAGACATCATCAATATACTAGTCTCACCCCCATTGTTATTTGATTTACTTGTTTATTGCTTTATATTATACGTACGTACTTATTAACACTTTTTGTACGATCTTTTATTATAGATAATAGCGCGTTCGATATATTTATTAATATATTTAAGCCTTTTCTTTTTAAAATCTCATTTTTAATTTATATGGTTAATCTTTTATAAAAGTAATTAAACTAAATATCCTTAAAAAGTTAAGCGATTATTATTAATTGTTTAAATTTAATAATATATTTTAAGGCTTTTTTAATTTATTTAAAGTTTAAATAATTTTATAAATATTTTTTTAAGTGAATTATTAAATATTAATTATATTTTATTTTTAAAGTTAAAATATTTATTAAAAATATATTTAAATTCTTTTATCCTTTTTTAAATTTTGTTAAAATGGTTATTTATAATAAATTAAAGTTACTTAAAAGTATTACCTTTAAAGTGCTAATATATTATTAGGACTTTATATTTATCTTTATTAAAATTAATTTAAAAAAAGGTTAAATAAAGTTTAATTATATTAAATTAAATTTTTATATTCGTAATATTATTGTACTTAAATAATAAAAAAGGTTTAAATCCTTTATTTAATAATAATAAAATTATAAGGTTTTATTATATTAAGTGTAAATTAAGATCTTTATTATTATTATTATTTTTTTTTTAACTTTAAATTTAATTAGTTTTTCTTTTAAAGTGTTTATTTTTTCTTTAAGTGCTTAATAAATTTCGTATATTTTTTAAAGTCCTTTTCTTATAAGGTTTATCTTATTTTCTTTAATTTAAATTTTCTTTTTTCCTTTATTAATAATTTTAATAATTTCTTTTATCTTTTTTTTTAATAATTTTACTTAAAACCTAATTTCCGTTAAAATTATATTATTAATTAATTTTAAAACGTAATTAAAAGGTGGTATATTAGGTTTATTATATTATTTTAGTTAATTAATTTTTATTAAAAATTAATTTTTAAGTAATTTATTTAATAAATATTTTAAAATAAATAAATTATAATTAATTTATATAAATAAAAAAATGTTATTATTTAAGTTAATATTTATATTATATTTAATTAGTAATAATATTAATTAAAAAGTTATTAAAATATAACGAATTTATATTTAAGTTCGTTAAAATATAATAATAAAAGTTTTAATTTTAAGTAAATAATAATAATATAAATTAAATATTAATAAAATATTAAAAATATTTATTAAAAAATTTAAAATCTTTTTCTTTATATAAGTTAAATATAAGATTTAAATTAATAGTTAAAAAAACGTAAATAAATATTTAAATATATAATAATTTTAAATATTTTATAGATTTTTTTTTTATTTAATGTTTTTTTAAAGGCATTATAAATCTTATAGTTTTTATAAATTTTAAAGATTTTATATTTTTTAATAAAATCTTTAAAATCCATAAGATCCATAAGATTTATATATTTAAGGTTTAACCGAAATGCTGTTAATTAACATCCCCGCTTCCATATTAGGTATAGCTTCGTTACTTGTTAGCTCGTAACACGTAATTACGCGCGACTACGCTTTTAAAAGTGCCACGTGACAAGGAGGTCCTTCCCATTTCTTAAGGTAGCTCATGCGCTTTACGCATAATTTAATTTTAAGCCGTAAGCTTTAAAATTCGTAACATTAAAAATGTAATAAAACTTTAACATAATTTATAATAAAGTTAAAAAACGTAAATTAAAATAAATTAAAATAAATTAAGTTAAATTTAAAAGATTTAAATAAATTAACTTTTAAAATTATTAAATTTATTTTAATTTAAATAATATAAATTTTTAAATAAATAAAATAATAAATTTATATAAATTATTATATATTTAATTATTAATTTAACATTTATTTTAATATTTAATTTATATTATTATTATTTATTTAAAAATTTAAATTTATTAATATTATATTTTAATAAATTTAAATATAAATTTATTATATAATAATAAATAATAATTTTATTTTTAATTTTTAAATTTAAATTAATTATATAATATTTATAAATTTTAATAATTTTAAAAATAATTATAATATATGGATAATATTAATAAGCACTAATTTAAGCTAATAGGTTGAACAGACCAACCAGAAAAGTGGGGCGTGGTACGAGTAGTACCTAGGTACTAATGTAATTGCCGACGGGGGTGGGCCAGCCTAGCAATTGGCCGAGGTCCATTATTTTACGGGCGCTCTTTTAAACTCGGCCTCCCGATTTTCGCATCACCGGAGTGACGACGTTAGGACGGCTTCATTGTCCTGTGCAGATCCGGGGTCTTAACATCTTTTTGTTGTCTCTTTTATAACTACTACCCCATAGCGGTCTGGTTTTACTCTCTACCGAAATGTGTACATATATTCGAATTCGAATTGTGTCTCGTGTTCCATGGTGCGGTAGCAACTAAAACTAAAGAGCATCCAAGTGCCTTTTAACCATACATACATACGGCTTTATCCGCGCGTGCAGTTAGACTTATTTCCGGCTTTCGACTTATAAATCTCGATTTAGTTTTTGCTTCAAAAGCGCCGGTGTCATCAACTAGAAATATCTCCAGAGGAGGACAAACCCCCAATTAAAGCAGACGTACTCCATTGAACTGTAGGAAATATTGACTGGCTGCGATGGCTGTGCAGTCAAAGCCCGCCCCGTTACCTCCATGGGGTTTCGCTGTAGCTGGCGCTACGGGAGCAGTCCTAGCTAATGCTCTTGTATATCCGTTGGATATGTAAGATGAAGGTTTACCTTAGCACTGCGTGGAATCGGCACTAATTACTTTCTTGCTTTTAGAGTTAAGACACGTTTACAGGTCCAGGTCAAGCGAAAGCCTGGAGATACGAGCGAGCACACCGACCCTCATTACACATCGACGTGGGATGCTATCACCAAGATTGCTGCGGAGGACGGTGTTAAAGGATTATATGCGGGTATAAACGGTGCCCTGTTGGGAGTCGCGTCTACCAATTTTGCCTATTTCTATTGGTATTCGATCATACGAGACCTTTACTTCAAATCGCAGAAGACTCCGGCGCCACCGTCCACGGCCGTCGAATTGGCATTAGGTGCTGTAGCTGGTGCTGTAGCTCAATTATTTACGATCCCGGTGGCTGTGGTCACGACGAGACAGCAAACACAGAGCAAGGCGGATAGGAAAGGCCTTTTAGATACGGCTCGCGAGGTTATCGAAAGCGAGGATGGCTTTTTCGGTCTTTGGAGGGGGTTGAAAGCTAGCTTGGTGCTGGTAGTCAATCCTGCCATCACGTATGGCGCATATGAGCGATTGAAGGGCATATTTTTCCCTGGGAAGGTCCGCTTGACTGCCGGGGAGGCTTTCCGTAAGTTCTCTTTACTGAGATATAAGAGAGCTAAACTAATTCCGATCATATAGTCCTTGGTGCTATGTCAAAAGCACTGGCTACTATCGTTACACAGCCTCTAATAGTCGCGAAAGTTGGCCTACAGTCAAAGCCGCCGCCGCAACGCCAAGGAAAACCATTTAAGGGCTTTATCGAAGTGATGCAGTTTATTATCAAACATGAAGGTCTACTAAGCCTTTTCAAGGGCATTGGGCCGCAAATCGTAAAAGGATTATTGGTACAAGGAATACTTATGATGACAAAGGAGCGGTAAGTCTAAAGAAAACCACTATGCCGACTATATACACTTATATACTGACTTGTACTTATAGAATGGAATTTCTATTTATCCTCCTGTTTAGATACATTCGCAAGATTCGGTCAGAACATCTCGCCAAAGCAGCTGAGTTGGCGGCAGCTACTGCCTCCAAAGCGAAGCTTCCCGTTCCTATTACAGCTAAGTAGGCGAGTCCCCTATAGACAGCTAATTAGAGGTGAGAGGAAATATATATACGCAAGTATATACTACTCAGACTAAGTGTGACGCATTTGTATAAAGTCTATTATGTGTTAGGAGTACAGGCAGACTGGGCGCAAGTATACGAATGTCTTTGAGGGATATGTTGGAATCATAGTTTTGGTCGATAGCTTCAAATTCTTAGAGAAATATCATAATCGAATGGAACAAAAGCACCGACGAATTATACATATTAGGTAGTCTCAGAGACATACCTTGACTTGAAGACTTAAAGTCTTCTACACCCGTCTTTAATACGGCTATTTGTGAGGTAATCTCTAATTCGGGTTTTATGTAAATATCCATGTATATGAATTTATTAGAAAGGAATACTTAGGTACCTCACAGTAGGTCAATCCCCACCTAGCGCAAGCCCCTCCTATAGATAGGTACTGTGGCTTGACCCTCGCTTAATTTTCTGCCCACAAGTGGTAATCGCAGACGCACCAACTGAACTTGCATCTTTTCACTGACAACATCAACCTTCGTCGACTACTCGTGTTTCCCCAAACAAACCGACCAATACAGTCACAATGGCGAGTAAGTTCAGGATGATATACTCTTACTATTAGGAAATAGCCAGCTCACCATTTTATCATAGAGTCCAAGAACTCGTCTCAGCACAACCAGTCGCGCAAGGCTCACCGTAACGGGTATGTCTATTTCGAGTCGATCGAGCTATATCAAGATGAAGCATTCGTCTACACCTGCCGAATCCCCGACTAACAAATCTGGCGGAATATAGTATCAAGAAGCCAAAGACCAACCGATACCCTTCTCTTAAGGGAACCGACCCCAAGTTCCGAAGAAACCACCGACATGCTCTTCACGGCACCATGAGGGCTCTGGTACGTCACTCGTCCTATCGCGCGCACACATAACATACCTTTGCTTTACGGAATGTATAGGTGACGATATACTAACAACCGATACAGAAGGAGCTGAAGGAGGGCAAGCGAGAGACGGCATAAATTGGTGGATAAATGGGTTTCCGAGACACGACGTCGCGAATGCGCATCAGGGCACGATTTGGGGTCATTCAGGCATGATCAAGGAGTCAAGGTTATGCATTTACTGCTTGTATCCAGGCACAATCTTCTACAGCGAAGAAGAAGAAGATGATGAAGAAGTAACCAACTGAGTTACATTCGCCAACGAACTTTCCTGCGTCTTTGCAATCTCTCTTCCTCTCTACCCGCTAGAGTCTATTACCGGTATGATTGTAAGTTGGACCAATACGTGATGAATCAACAAACAAACAAATGAACGGCATATGTGTGTACAGCTCTAGGCCTATCCCCATGCCTATCTGCTGAAGGATGTTTCTTCTCGTGCCGAGAGTGGTTCGCCAGTCCATTACCAAACACTTATGCTTCGATCTGCTCTAAGGCAAGAGTGCATGGAGGCTAGGCAACATTTCTATTATTTCCTCATACAATCTGATGATAGATCATCTTGATGCAGTAAATGAACAAGCTAATTATCAGAAAAATTTATACAATGTCTCTCATCCGCACCCGCACCACGTGACTTGATTCATTATTTAGAGTAAAAATGCTTAGCATGCTTCTTTACTCGGTTAAGACAGCGTTGATGTCAAATGTGTACCTAATATATAAATTGAAACATGTAAGTGTTCCCAATGTGAATCGCGTATGTTCGAGGCCGTTACAATGATGTATTCACGGTTCGGTTTGCCAGTTCTTCGACGGATGGAACATGGAAGGGTGTGTGTGGATGATTCCACGCCCTACGTAGTAGCCGACAGTTAGGCGTTTCGAGTTGTCCTAGGCGCACTAATAGGACATCCGTACGTACCTAGACCTAGGTACGAGGCAACGACTCCGGTGGCCCTAAAAGCTGAGGACTAGGAAGTACGTACAATACAATACTTGCATCTACCACTACCACCATGCCCCTAATGGGGCATAATTCCAGGGGCTTGTAACCCGTACGCCTGTAGATTGCCCCCAAAGAAAAAAAAAAAGATTTCAAGCAATAAGTGCCGTTATTTCAGGTGGTGCAATTGGTGCAATTGGCAGTCCTAGGCACTAATGTTGCACGGTCTCACGATGTACTGTGCTACTGTAGCACAATTAGATTGTATTAGCGCTGAGCCGTCCAAATAACGCATGCAAATTGATGCTTCCTTCCTACCCTCAAGGCTCAGTCTGCGCGTGCCGCATCCAACTAATAAGGTTAAGAACGCCTTACCAAAACTAAGGTACCTACCTGAGGGACGTTACCTTACCATGCTGCCATGTACTATGTAAGCTGTGCCCGGTATGTCCGTAAATGCACACTTATGCTCGATGTACCTTATTGCACTAAAATGTCAATGCGCTATGCTATAGGTTGGGAGTACAATACATGGAGCCGTAGCGGGCTGTACCTAAGTAGAGGTATCCATTAAAAAAAAGGGTTACGGGTTACGGATTACGGATTACAGGGCGGGTCGGTCTTCTGTTGGAGAGCGCTGAAAGCTTGTGTGTGCCTCGATCCGTAGCAAGCGTAGGATCCCCTTAACCCAAATTTTGGTCTGCAGCCTCTGTAGCGGTGCAGCCTTTCTGCCTTTGTAGCGGTGCAGCAGCCTTTGTGCCAAGGGTCTTTCCGAAAAGAGTCCAGGCTTTGTGCCCGAGTCTGGCCAGTCCTTTCGCTCTAAGTCCTCCAGTCTCCGATCAATTCTCTCTACAGCTTCTTTTTTTCTCCCCTTCTCCTATCCTTCACATCCTCTTCCTCAGCAGCTCGAGGGTAACCCTGCCGCTGGTTCCTTTCTTTCTTTTGGCCCTGGAGTAGAAGTCGATCTCAGTGTTATTGCTTGGTAAGTCCTGCTTGCTTTTTCTTTATCTGCATCTCCTGCATCTCGTGACCTTGTCGCATTCAATTCTGGAATAATTAAATCCTTGGATACACGTTTATGGGGACACCTTACGATTATGGAGAATTGGAGATTTTTACATCTATCACCGACATGTCAATACAAGTCAGACTGGTCTTCGGGTACCTCATGCCTTATGCCTTATGCCTCATACCCCAGGTCGTCAGAAATGCCATCTGTCATACGGCCCTATTCTACATCTTACATCTCTCTATTCGGACTTCTTGACTTCGGATTGGATTAGCCTTTGGCCATACCGCTTCTCCTAGCGAGGCGGCAGCGTTGATCTTCAACCAACGATGCATTTCTTACTAACATATACTCCTCGCAGTCCCTCTATCTAATATTCTGCATTACCAATAATCACTTCGTTCCCAACTGCCTCCTTTCAAAGACTCCTTTGAGGTCAGCAGGCTACTGCAGGAGTTCTAGAGAAAAAAAAAAGGTATTCTACCGTCGTTCTCTGCTAGAGAGTTGAGGTCGAGCCTCGCAAGTCAATTATATCACGAACGACGCATACGGAAAGCCATTACGCTACGCTTCATGTTGAGTTGATTTGCCGACTTTCAGTTCCTGTCGGTCTCTTGCCCTGAAAAGTGTCACAAGTTGGTCACCAATCCTCGCCAGGCTATTTAACAATATAATCGACATCACTACCATCACTTTGGCCTTTTATTATAGCAACTATAACTGCAATTCCCCAAGATTATATCATCTCAGGATAACTTCACCACCATTGCTCCATTGCTCCATTGCTATTGCGCAAAGACCTAAGCATTTTTACTCGGCTTACCTCGCAAAACACAGACATTAGCTTTTCGCTGCATAATTTAGCTACCGACGATCTCTTGCAAGTTTTTGAAAATTTGCTATAACTCGGGAACCCCTCCCCTTTGGAATCTGCAAACTCGACAGTATTACCAAAATGAACCGAAACAGCACGCCGGATGCCTCGACTGCTTCGACGCTTCGTCCACCATCCTCACGAACAGGCGCTACTAACAATCATCACCTCCGTGCATCCGCCGATATGGCCGCTCTTACTGGTACCGCGACCTCAGGCCGTATCCGTCCCTCTTCAGATTTCTATGGCCAACAGGGCCAGGGTCAGGGGGCCGCTGATGCGGATCCGCAGGACAAAGTAACACAGCAGTGGATTGCTGACATTGATCAATATGAGACAACTTTGGAAGAAATGGCTGCTGCCACTCTGGATCAGGACTTCAAGGATGAACTCAGTGCCATTGAACAGTGGTTTCGGGTCCTATCCGAGGCCGAGCGTACTGCTGCTTTGTATGCCTTGCTTCAGCAGACTACCCAAGTCCAAATTCGTTTTTTTATCCAGGTCCTTCAGCAAATGGGGAAAAACCACCCCATGTCTGGTGTCCTATCTCCGGCCAATTTTGACAAAGGTATGTTTATACGATATCTATTGCCCTATTTACCGCGATCCCGTGCTAACCACTTCTCAATTCGTAGATCCCATGTCGAATCGCCTTACCGATGCTATGAGCAAATTGAACGTTGGGTCAGCTCGAAATTCCCTTTCGCAACCCCAAGCATCGACCAAGAGGCACTCTGGACTTGACCCGTCAACCATCAATGCTATGTTCCCTGATGCTGCGGCAGCCATTGCTACTGAGAAGGCCAAGTTTACTCAACAGACCGGGAATCAGCCCCCTTCGAACCGTAATAGCACGGCTGTAGATATCCGAAGCCCCTTGGGTGCGCCCACCATCTCTGCGCCTTCTGAAGGTCTTGATCCTAACGCCCAGAATCCTGCATCGCCTTGGGTCAGCAGCCATGACCAAGGAGGTTCGCGGCCAAAGTCATCATCAGGCCAGACCCCCATGGGTCAGTTTGTTCAGCCCCCACCTTCTGCAGGTCTGAGATCGCCTCGACCCCAACTAGGCGGCGGTAATATTCAAAGCACCACGCTTACCGCCCCAGACAAGTCAGCAACCGACTTGCCAATGTTCTCACCCTACACGGCTGGAAGTGGAAACTGGGCTTCTATGGTGAATACTCCTATGGTTCCGACGTTTAACACGGGTAATTCCGCCAACCAGGCAGACATGGTGGCCAATGCAACGGCAATGAAGCTCGCAGCATTATCTACGGTCAACAATCGTTTTGCCCTCGATGATGTACGCAAGTACCGAAGAGCTCGTTCTAACGACGCCCCGGGCCAGGGCCAAAACTCGATCCAATCCGGACCTCAGGCATCAAATATTCCTGGAGCGAATATCATCATGGTTAACGAGCACGGTCAGGTTCTAAATCGAGACCAGATGCTCGCCATTCAAAACCAGCAAATCATGGGTGGATTCGCAGCTCATAGGTCTCGTCCAAACTCACCCGGCATAGCGATGCAAGGTTTCGGACAAGTCCCTTTCGCTTCTCCGCAGAATAACGGGTTCCTGAGTGCGTATGACAGCGCGCAAAACCCCCTGTTGAACAATGGACTCAGTGCTATCAGTATGGGTCAGCTTGGTGTCGGTGTTCCTGAGGGCTACCTGTCTGACCATTCTGATTTGGCTCGCGGCCGATCGCCGCGTGGTCGCCGTGGCACTTCGAAGCCCCCAGAGGACCCTACCGACCCGACCCTTCTGCAAGATATACCAGCTTGGTTGAGAAGTCTGAGACTGCACAAGTACACCGAGAATTTGAAGGAATTGAAATGGACGGAGCTGATTGAGCTTGATGACAAAGCTCTGGAAGAACGTGGTGTCAATGCCCTTGGAGCTCGTAGGAAGATGCTGAAGGTCTTTGACCAAGTCAAGGGTAAATACAAATCCATCCCCCAACCAATTTTTCAGAATTGCTAACACATACACAGATGCCAAGGCAGAGGGCAAGCTGGGCTAGCCACTGCAATCTAATAATGGTGATATTCGCCCACTACCACTGGAATCTTGCGGCTTTCTAGGAAACTAAAGAACCCCCACATCTTTTTTTTTAAAAAAAATTTAACACCTGCATGAACTATACTGAGAATATTCGATATCTTTCCGGCCTCCTAGCTGTGAACTGAGACGATTGCTTAAGCGAGGTGATGAGAATAGAGTTTATATGAATGGTCAGGAAAATATTTTGCTTTTCGCATCGGATAAAGTTTTGGACAACAAGCCTAGGTTGAGATTTGAAGGCCATGACGAAAGCTATAAAGCGATCCTTGCAAGTAGATGAGGGTGATGCTGTAAGGTATACGTGTACACAGATTATTATTATTACTATTGAGAAGTGAACATCTTTATCCGAAATGAATTAAGGGTTTTCCGGCTGGAAGCATCGTAATAAACAAACCAATACGCCTTTGAAGCTATCAGAAATGGATCTTGGTGACTGAGATCATGTTGTCTTCTTGCCCGCATACCCCTTTGTTATTATGGATTGATCGATTACCTAGGTAAAGTAAAGGTTCTGTTAGTTTCATAATTACATAAGACAGATATTGGTTAATCGAATTAATATATGCATCTAGATGGCCTATTCTTTTTATCAAAGGGTATCTACCTAGGTAGAACTCGCCACTTACAGTAGAGTTTGGAGGTACTAAGTACTTTTATTTTAAACTTCAAATCTTCACTTACACGCAACGACCCGCAACTCATCTTTCCGACGCGGTTCGCAACCTTCCTCATAGATCATACGGAATGGTTACTGTCAGGCATACACTGTTCATTTCAAGTGATTGGAGTTAGCCAGCTCTAAAAATAAAAAAAAACGCCGGGGGTCATCAGCTTATGATTTATCTGATACCAAGTACCTATGAGCCTAGGAACTTCTCATTAACATCGTTCAGGTAAAACTAAAGAAGCCATTCGCTTTCTCCTTTTCGCCTTTTCACGTTTTCACGTTTTCAATAATAATACCCGCTGCACCTTTTCATCTCACCATGAGCCATCCATTTTCATCTACATTTGATGCCCTTCAGGCGCACTTTACTCAGAAGTCAGACAAGCCAGATGCCACAAATTCCGAACCCGGGAGCACCATCCCGCCGCCTTCACAAATACAATATTCAACAAATTCTCCTCAAATCCCTCCTAACGCAGTCCAGTATGGAGCATTCAGTACAGGTCCAGGTTACATGTACAATGCCTTTTATCCCTCACAGAACCCAGGCGCGGGAACGTTGCAGCCACATTTCAGCAACAGCAATGTCACTATGCCCAGGTCAAGCTATCCAGCAATACAACCTTATCCACCCCGGGAAATTCGGCCTCATCCAGTGGCGGAAATGCCTTCAATGATGCATCAACATGTACATGCTCATCCAAGTATGACTAATCCTCAAGGCTGGGGTTTTCCTTCGAGCAATGCACCAAGAGATGTTCCAATCCCTCAACCACAAAGCTCAGCAGGCGGGTCACGCAACCCACCAGTCAACATAACGACCCAAGCATTGGCTGTGCAAGACGAAGCAGATCTGATGGATTCTGCTACTGACGCACTTCTGGAACGACAGAATGAACTCAATGCGGAAAACCCAATGCCAAAGCTTCCTCCCATGCGGGGGCTCATAAGAAAATACCTTCGTGCTGATATCAAGCCAGACCGTCCCCGGGTCGGTAAAAGTGCTAAAAAGAGAGGCCCTCGGAAGGCTGCCGAGCCAACAGGTGATATTAAATATCGTCTCAATATGGCCTCAAATGCGTACATGGATGGGCGTATCGATGAAGCCATCGACTTTGTAAACGATGCTATTCGTATCAATGCCGAGACCTACAGGGCTTGGGTTCTCCTTGCTTCATTACGCCAGGAGAAAGGCGATAGAGAGGGGCACTTCCATGCACGGCTGTTCGCCGCACATTTGCAACCAAAGATTATTGAGGAGTGGCTTCAGTGTGCAGAATTGGCCATCGCCCTTCGAGAAGAGTTTCCCGAACAAGCAGATGATTACCTCGACAACGCTGACAAGCTCTACTCGAGGGCCCTGAGAATCGACAGTAAGCATAGCGGAGCACGTCATGGGAGAGCCGCAGTACGATTTGAAATGGGCCATCTTAAATCAGCAGTCAAGGACTATGCCGCCTTGATTGAGCAGTGCCCTTTCGATATATACGCCATCCGTAGCTACGCTGAAATATGCGTTCTGCTCGTGGACACCGGTAAACCACGTTTTGCAGATGGCCCTAAGAAGGCCATAGAGGCATATCAACGTTGCATCGCCCACTTTCGAGAGAATGGGTTCGATATTCAATTTCCTTTCGACTGGCAAGACATCAAAATATTTGTCGAACTTCTCGCATATATTGAACAGTTTCAGGAGGCTATTCATGAGCTGAGATCCCTATCAAGATGGCTCTTGACTCGGTCAGACGAGACCTTCTGGGATAACCAAGGGGATGACCGCGAATGGGATGAAGACAGCATGCGGCGATTAGAAGTAGGACAGTATCAGGATGGAAAGCACCCTGCTTCATCCTACGGCAAGGGTCTTCCCTTGGAACTGAGAGGAAAACTCGCTGTGTATCGTCTCAAACTTCACCAAGAGGATGAAGCTATGGTAAGACGATATTTCCTTACGTTGTTATAGAAACAAAAACTAACAGAAACCAGCGTCACCTAGCTTTTATTGATCCGGATATATTCAACACGCCTGAACTGCTCTTGGAGTATTCACATCTTATGATCGATGCAGGTTCAGCATTATACGAAGTCGGTCATCTTCCCATGGCCTTACGCTTTTACGAGCCGCTCCGAGAACCTGACCTTCTCGATACGGAGTCTCTTATCCGGGCAGGTCAGTGTTATTTGGACGCGGGAGATAAAAGACAGGCCGAGGAATGCTTTACGACCGCCATTGACCAGGACGAAGCTAATAGTGAGGCTTGCATTGATGCACGCTACGAATTGGCGAAGATGTACGAAGCTGCAAGAGAAGAAAGAGAAGCTTACATCCTTGTCAACGAAGCTATCAAACTGCAGGAGGCTCACGATCAAGCTCGGGAACAAGCTCGTGCAGACGATGAAGATTTAGGAGAGGATAACGACGAAGGCCGCATGTCGGACGATGATACTTCGTTGCTTCAAACTGCCTTGGGGCGTGTTACTGGCGAAGAGATGGGCGCAAAGCCAATACGAACCCTGCGTCCACTCAGGCCAAAGGGCGAGAAGCCGAAGCTAAAACCGAAACCAAGGGAACGCAAACCTAGAGCACCGCCAGACCCATCAAGGAGACGCCGTAAGTTGTTTGGTCGCACCGACGAAATGCAACAGGAAGAGAAGAGAAGGGCAGAGGAACTATCCGAAGCCTGGAAGGTTGTGCGTGAATCGCGAGTCTCGTCTGAAGCCGATGCCAATGGTCCTTCCAACGCTTTCTTATCGGCAGCTCGAGTTCTCATCGACGACTTTAGATCCTACAAAGACTTTTATAGCTGGGACAAATACCTGGCGCATCTTGGCATAAATCAGGCCCGCGAGAAGATCGAGGCCCGAAAGGGAAATCCAAACCTTCTAGCCATGGCGGAACGTCTATCCAACAGTAAGTTGTATCGACCGAGTACTGATAACCCTAGGCTAACCCAATGATATAGACCTGGGTCCAGACGACTCCGGTGCCGAAAAACAGGTTAAAGTAGCCGTGAGCTATCGAGGAGTTCCGTTCGCCGAGTGGCTTGATCTGTTCCTCGAATATGCCATAGGTCTAGCTCAAGTCGGGAGATTTCAAGAAGCTTATAAAGTATGCGAATCTGCCCGTGATACTACGATATTTTCCAAGTCTAAAGAGGACACGTTCTTGATACACATAACGTGGGCTGGTAAGATGCTACTCTCAAGCCATGGTGAAATGACTCTTGACTGTTGACTAATAAAATATAGCATGCGCATTACGTAGTAGAGACGAGGAGACGTGCGTTGCCACAGCTCGTTGGCTCATGAGAGAATACCAATACGACACAGACCCCTTCCGAATGTTCTCTGCCTTGTCGAGGTTATGTCCATCCCCAGCATCATGGTATGCTTCAGGTCCCGTCCAAAAGTATATGCTCCGCCAGATCAAGCTTATGGACCGCGCTATTACCGCGGCAGGAGCTAAAGACAGTGAGGACGAAGACGGTGCACCTAGCGGCAGATCATACCCAAGCAAGGAGTTGGACATCACGTTGCTTATGGTTTACGGGCATATTCTATTCATATCGAACAGCTTCACCTACGCGCTAAGTAAGTAGAAAGACGGCCTTAACCCCCCCCCATGATTTGTATACCGCTATATATATACTAATGCTATTATAGATTACTTTATGAGAGCATATACCCTTGACCCAACCAACAGCTTGGTCATCCTCAGCGTAGGCCATTGTTACGTCCACTACGCATTGAAAAGACAGGCTGAGAACCGACAATTCCTCCTGACCCAGGGTTTCCTCTTTTTGCATCAATACTATGACCTCAAGTTAGCCTCGCCAAGCGCGGCGCACAGACAGGAAGCCCACTACAACATGGCGCGTAGCTATCATGCTATTGGCATCCCGCATCTCGCCGTGGAGTACTACCAGCGCGTACTCCAGGACGTGCCGGACGACTCTGGAAACGGCATCATGGGCCGCGATGACCTGACGCAGGAGGCAGCGTTTAATCTTCAGCAGATTTACTGGGCAGGTGGAGATGTGGAGGCCATTAAGGGGATCGCGGAAAGATATTTAGTTCTTTAAGCATCGTAATGCATCAGAATGCGGATGATGACTTAGCTTATCATTGTGGAATAATTCCCAAGTTAGATGATATTCGCAGTAGCTAGATGACGTTGATTGATAATACCCACGGCTTTTGCCGCCGAACATTCTATCTAAACCCCCTTTTGGTCACAAAGAGCTGACTTTGATTGACCACAATTATTATTTCTTCACTGGCCGATCAATAAAGTTTATACACAGGTACTCCACGAATCCAGTCTAACAGTGAGGAAATTGAGGTAGCTATTAGTACTACCAGGTAGGTACCTACCTTAGATATTGACTCGGATGGCTAATGCAAGGGGAAGACGGTAGTGTATAGTGTATCTCGTTCTAATGAGGCTCAAGTATTATCATTATCAAACTAAACTGACGTGACAAGCTGACGGGCCTTTTTTGTTGCTTTTTCTACGTAGAAACATAGGTACTGTGTAGTTATGTTTCAGACTTACCGAAGAATGATTGATTACTGATGAAGGTGGTGACATCGTACTGACGACATCTATCGTTCTATTGTCTATCCCCAAGAACGCTGGCGGTCCGTGCCCTCCATCCTACAAGCCTTACCCCCTTTCTCAGCCCTACAGTCGAAGGAAATTCGTGACGCGGTGTGTAATTGTTACGACGTGGCGGCGTGGGTGGTCTCGTCAGCTCGTGCGTTTCGAGCTCGCTTCATCTTGCACGTCTATTCGTATCTAGTATAGACTATGGTTGTGATGAGTTATGTATAACGGGATTCTTATTAGGTACTTGTACTTGTACTTTACCCCTTGCCTACGGCGTTGGTGCTTTTGGCTCCGCGTGGCTGGTCGTCGTTCCCGGCCATAGCCATATCATGACGACGACATTCACAAAGGCAGCTAGATAACTGTACCCCAACTGGGACGCCTCTGGAACCGTCAGGCGGCAACATCTCTTCCTGCAAGCCAGCCAGCCAGCGATCTTCGTTTCGCAAGGGCAGCAGAAGAGAAAGAAGCACGTCCGGTCCGATTAAAGTCTTGATATCAGAATTACGAAATCGGACTTCATCACACAGCATTGCGTCGGGTGCTTGCGTCTATGACTTCATGACGATAGCCCCTTCCTGACGATCTTGTCCCGCTCTTGACTGTTTTGTCTGTCTTGTGTTCCTTGCTGGAGGAGGAGGAGGAGGTTCGGCGAAGGATATAAGGAGGTCGAATTCGTCGTGCTCCTCGTCACTTACTTTCTCTGTTTCCTCAGCATCAACAACTACAACAACAGCAAACGATATAACAGCTATTCGTCGCCGCATCTTCTCTACCAGCACCTACAAGACATCGCCATCATCATCACCATGCCGCAGTACAAGCCCGGCCAGACCGTGCGCTACAAGCCCGTCGGCGGGCCCGACTCCAACACCTCCGAGAGCACGGGCAAGATCCTCGACGTCATCACCGAGCCCGGCGTCCAGGCCGACCGCAACGTGCAGGCTAGCCCTGACGAGCCGCGCTACGAGGTACGTTACGTAGTTACCTTACCTACCTAACCTACCTAGGTACCTGTTGTGCGTCAAAAGAGGATAGATAAATACCTAAACTAACGAATGTGGCGGTCCCTAGATCCTGAACGATAACACGGGCAAAGTCACCTCCGTGTACGAGAAGAACATCCTCGGCAAGGCTTAATTAATTAATTAAGCCGGAGAGGGAATTTTTTTTTTATATGAATTCTTGAATTTGTTGTAATTGGGCTATTCGAGCTTAAAAAGCTCGTCTGTTGGACTGGAATGGATTGGAATGGTGTCGATCGTTCAAAGTCCTGTTAAGGTATTACCGTTAGCGATTAGACTTGCTATACTTGGAGTGATAAATACAAATTCGACCGCGGAATCTCAGATATGGTCTTGACGTTTTCATGTCTCTTGTAAATTGTCACCCTTTTTTGGGACAACTTCCCAAGTTCGTTGTCTTTTGGATGTGTCATCACCGTATAATATACACTGAGTAACGGCACTAACCACGACAGAATTAAACCTTGCACATCTAGAGTAAACATCATCAAGTAATCACATTTTCACACTTTAAAATCCACCCCGCAGAAAAAAGACAGCCAAGTAGCAAGAAATCTCATATCGTATTCACATCACCATGCTCGTGTAGAGAAATAACAATTAAGTAGTCGCCTTGTAGATGCCCCGAACCAAAAGGCCGCGCTCTCCTTTTCCGTTTTCTTTCTCAGAAGACTAAAAAAGGGAAGAGAGAAATAAGCCCAAGCGACGTCCTTCCGTAGGGCAGAGCGTATAGCAGCAAAATATATACAGCAGCGCGGGTTGCTATATACGAAGAGAGACTAGTAGGTAGTTTCATGGTTCTAGCTAGAGGTTATACAGGCCCCCCGGATCGGCGGGCAGGAGGAAAAATGATAAATAAAAAAAAGAACACCGGGCTCCCTTTCCCCCCCTGTCCGCGTAACGGGAATAATGAAACTTTGTATGCAACCACCACCGCCACAATTTTCTGTCTTTCCATCCCCATCGCGTCACCAGGGGAGGGAAAAAGAAAAACTTCAACATGAAAATGGCAAAAAACGCAAACATACCGCGACGTCGTCAGCTCGGCTCGGCAGTAGACTTCGTAGACGATGATGGACAGACATGTGTTGTTGAATATTGTTGGAACAGACCCAGACGTAACAAAAGAGAGGGATATGGGTATGTGCCTAATCAAGGAAAAAGAAAAAGAAAAAAAAGAAACCAAGAAAGATTTCCAGATAGGTGTTGGTATAGGTAAGGTATGGATGGTATGGTATGGTATGGTATTCCGTGATGATGAAGATGAGGGTATGGTATGTAGAACTCTCGCGTCTCCCATTCTTCGCCCCTGGACCGCCCGCACCTGGCATGAGGTGTACACAAGACACAAAATCAAGAATTACACAAATAATCTCCTTTACTCCGAGCGCCCTACACCGAGTATGTTGTTGTCAAAGTTGGGGGGCCATAAAGGAAGGGCAACAAAACTAAAGTAAACAAAAAGGGGTCGGCCAGAAGGGAAGACTGAAGCTGAAAAGAACACAATTTGTAGCCTATACAAGAAACAGCGTAGTAACGCGATAAGGAAAACGCCAGCCTCATGCGAATACTAAAAGAAAGGAAGAAAATAATATCGGCCTATACCGTACCTCGAAGGCGTTGCTTGCGGGCTAACCAGTCCCCGAGCATGTTATCCAATTGCTACATAGTCGTTAGCCCATAGTCATAGTCAACACTATATTATAAAACAAATACGAAAACCTACTGTTGTAATTTCGGCTAATCTTGCGTTTTGCTCGCGGAACAGAGACCCCACAACAGGATGGTCAGGGCCGGCGGGTGCCACGTCATTCTTATCGTAGACGATGACCAATAGATCCCTGATATCAGAACCCGAGTCGAAGAATGCTCGTAGGTTAGCGTCGTTCCAAGTCGACGTAGTCGTTGCCGATGTCGAAGTCGCCACCGAGTCTTGCTTTCCGTGAGTCCTGTCCTCCACATCCACCGGCTCTGGTGATGGCGATGACACAGGAGAAGATTGGTCCTCCTGACTAGAAGTATCGATCATAAGAGCAGGTGGGTTGGTAGGTGAGACCTGAACAGGAGACTCCGAAAGTCGCTCTTCGACGATAGGGTGCTCAGCCTCAGGCCCTGCTGTTTGATCGCTGACTTTGGATGCGGATGTTTGGGAACCGACGTAGCTGTCCGGATATGCCCCAGGCAAAGTTGGTCGTTCTTGTTTGACTTCGGGTGACTGCCGTGCAGGTTCCGGGGGTGTCCTAGTTGGCTGTGGTGTAGACTCGTCTTCCTCCGACGGGTTAAAGTCATCAAGTTCAAGTCGCGACTTAGCTTTGGTAACCTTCTGTGGTATACTCTCCGGCTCCTTTGTGACGACTGGCTTCGAGCTACCCTTCTCATTCTTTTGAGATGATCGGTCTGGGCTTTCAAGCCGATCAGCCTCCACCATCCTCAATGTCGCAGGCGGTACGTTTGCTACGTTGTTACTCCTAGCTTCCGATGCTAGCATAGGGCCTCGCTCTGAGCCTGTCTGCAACGGCGCGATAGCGGGTTTGCTTGTGGGTGAAGTATCAGTCCTAGGCTGTTGTTTGTGGAGTTTACTCGTGTTCCGTTGAGGTCCGTTGGCCTTTTCAGGTGACAGATCCGCATCGGCTCCGTGGGCTTCCTCCCCATCCCTCTCCGTCATATCACCGCTAGCGTCCAGGGACCGCTTGCCAAACGAATCGGAGTCATCATCAATAGACTTTTTCTTCTCTTTCCGCGAGAAGAAACTCCGGATTGCGCTTGGCTTCTTCTCCTTCTCCTTCTTTTTCTTGTCATCCTTGTTTCTATCAGGAGTGAGCTCTTTTTCCAGGCTGACTCGTTGCCGTAGTGACTCTTTCGAGTCGCGCGGTTCGTTATCGTCCCGTAGCAGGCCAGGAGTCAACGTGATCTTCTTAGTTTCTATCGTCTCGTCCTTGAAGAAAGAATCTGTGTTCCTAACAGTGCCGTTTCTTGTAACCCGCTCGGTCTTGGGATCGAAAATTTCGTTACTGTCCCTGCGAACATCATTCTGGGCAACCGATAGCAGGTTATCTTTGTCCTCAGCCTTGGCCGAGTCCGATTTGACCTGTCTCTGCTGACTCCTGGGCTTGAGCGGTTCCACCTTGGCCGATTCATCGTCCGAGGCATCATCAGTAGATGATGCTTTCGACTCTTGCTTCTGCTGAGACTGTTTTGAACCTTGTTCTTCCTCGCTGTCCCCATCCTCTTCTTCACTGGAAAATTCGGGGTCTGAATAGTCAACATAAGTTGGGGCTGTGAAAGTAACGGTTTTCTTTTTTCTCCTTATCGCCGTCTTTAAAGCGGGCTTGTTGGGTTTCTCTGCTTGGTCGCCAAGCATCGTTGCCGATAGCTAATTCATGGTTAGAATCAAATATTTAACCTGATTTGAGTATAATCACATACGTCTATGTTTCGGTGCTTGTTGAGACGCGCTAGCCTTTCAGTAGGTGTCTCAATATGTTCGGCTGGTAAGTATCCTAAAAATTGAAGTGTGAGTTTAAAGAGAGGCTTCGAATATCCCAGTGGCCCATACCTATGCTACTATCCTTGACAACCCTCACGAGCCACCAGTAACTATTACTATCGTCGAGTAGCACCATGGTGTCGCCTTTGGTAGCATTGGCCTGGCCCTCGACCGTAGCGACGAAAGTGTGGAGAGCGTAAACGAACTCGAAATCGATGTCCTCTAAGTCTTGTAAGTCTTTACCACCCCAGCCAACGTCAAGAAATCTAGGATTAGTGGCAAAGGAAACATCGTCATAATCATCATCATCCTCTTCCGAGGCATTGTAAGGAAGTAGAGAGTATGGCGAAATGGTGAATTCTTCCTCATCCATCTCGGTTTCGATGGTTTCGGTGTCCCATTGGCGTTCCGAAGAGAAGCGCACGGTCGTTGACCGTGACTCAGAGGTGGCATATTCGTCAAGGTTTCCCTTCTCAATAAGCTGTCCTGTTTCGTGTACCGGATCCGTCGCGTATATTTCCTACATGGTCGACTCGGATTCGTGTAGCGACAGGTCGTTCGGGTCTTCGGTACGGTCCGCGCGGTTGGCCGATTCGTCATACTCACCAGGAAAAGAATGATGATGATTTGACTTACAAACAGGAGCCTTGCTTGCCTGTTGGTCTAGGGGTTGTATAGGTAGTTGTTCAACAAATTGGAGACACGGTGAAGGTGTTCTCATCTTGCTGGGCAATGGATTGAGGGAAACGGGGTGCAGAGCCAGAGGACGCAACGAATCGACGCGCCGTGGCCAAGCAGGAGGCGGAAGAGTGTACCCACCATCTTCAATTGAAGGAGAGCTCGAAATCTTATCCATCATGTCATCATCAAGGCCATCATCGGCGTCGGCGTCCATGTCACCATCATCGGAGCCATTCCCCGTGGCGCCTCCACTTTGCGCGATTGCGAGCGCATCTTCGGATTGCATCTTGTTGCCATTCAAGGAGTTGGCGAGCTGTTCGGCGTATTGTTGTAAATCGCTGCTATTGTCACCATCGGACCACGAGATTCTAGGACTTCGAGCTTCCTCGTCAGCCCTGTCGTCTTGAACTTCGCGCAAAGTCCCAGCTTGATGCGGCGCGAGTGACCCGTTCGATGCCGCGTTCGACGAGAAGGATTTGTGGCTCTTAGTAGGAGACGTGTTTTGACTCTGGAGATCAATGGTATCTATAAGAAATAGGAAAGAAGCAAATTATTAGCAAAGTACAAGGAACAAAAAAATCATAATTTCGAAGACAAGGGGTCGGTTGGGTGTTGCATTGTAATAATTTTCCAAGAAATTTCCCCCTTCTCCCCTTGGCCCTTTCTTTAGAGGCTAGCAGGTTCATATGTAGTGTAGATCCAACTCACCTGCGCGAATCATCTGGGGTCTGGTCATGGCTGTTATTTTTCCAAGAGTCCGCGGAATCAATTCCCACGGATCAATGTTAAATGAACTTTGATATGGGTCCGTCCGTTCATAACAGCAATCGATAATGCTTTATATCCCAAACTTATCTCTTTTTTTTTCCTTCTTTTTTTAATATAATTCCTGTCCCCGTGCTTCCGTGCTGCTTGCTGCCTTGTTCTCCCTCTAGGTATTAACCTCTTTTCCACGTCCTGCGCCTTGGTAGTGGATTGTCGCAAGGGGTTGGGGGAAAGCTGGTCGGAGCGCCTTAACCATAAACCAAAACCAAAATGCCCATCTAACTTTATTTCCTCAAAAGTTGACACTCAAGTTCAGAGATCGGCATGCGATTTAACTTCGCGCAAATCTCGGACCAATTGTGTCGAATGTGTGCCGTGTTGGATTCTAAGAATAGATGGTATTAACCTTTGAAGTGGAATAAATGAACGGATGTGGTGAGATGAGATGGGGGAGTATTACATATGCCTCGAAGAAAAAAAAATTCCTGGTTATCAGTAAAGTCTGACAACTAGGCTCAGGGAATCGCTGATCAGAGGAATACAGGTATGTATGTACAATACTACGTTAGGTAACTTCGTAGAATGTACAACGAAAATGCGAAAGGAGGCCCTGCAGATTGCAGACCAGTTCGGGTTGGTCTGAAACAAGGTACCTAACCTTAGGTACCTACGCAGGTAGGGTACTGGACAAGGGGGAGGTTCTAAATGTTCAGACGTTGAGATGGGAGTGACAAGACTTTACAGCTGTCAACTTGGTGGGGCAGCATAACCGAGATAAGTACTAGCTACCTGATACTGGCCAAGCGCATTCCTTAAATTCCCAAGTAGTTGATACATTAATACGTAGTACTAGTAACTTTGTCACTCTTTCCCGTCCTCCCCCACATCGTCGATGTGAGGGCTAAATATAAATTTCCTTCCCCATACCTGCATCTCCCGTGTCACCGCGAGATGATGCATGAGATACACAACAAGCAAACGTCAAATACCAATCTACAATCATCTATCGTACATAGGAGTGTATACCTAATGGGTGCTATAAATGGCACACCAGTCATAACCCCATTCGCTTCACTTCCCCCACCATTCGCGATGGAATTGTACTCATAAACTTAAAATATAATTAACAATACTTGGGCAAAGAAACGTGTGGCATTATTTTCTCCCATTTGTGTAATCTGTAACATGTAGTTAACTAACTTACAACTTAGGTTCTTGAAAGTCGTCATAGTCATCATAAAGATGTGGAAGAAAAGCTCCGATATAAACTACCTAATCAGTAATTCATATTCACTGGTCTATTGCATACCTTCGCTTTTATCTTATATCTCAAACTACTTGCTAGTTATAAAAAATTAAATTAGGTAAATAAATTATTATGTCTTGTACGCTAATATTGCATTGCTGGCATGTGAATCGAACATATGCATGTCACTACGCTATTGTCAACAGCAACCCAGATGGTTCATTCCAAGGAACTATCTATTCATTGCATCCGAGTCTTACAAAAAATCGGTGAGCAAAACAAATACGCCTTACCTACCTGACACAGATATGTATACTCCACACAGTTATGATAGACAACCGACTAGTTACACACATTAGGCCCATACATACCTACATACATACATAAAAATACAGTCTTATATTGTCTCTTCCAAGTTCCAACCTTTCTTGCTTTGCCCCACCTACTACGGTATAGCTCAGTGGTTCCTGCGTTAGTGCAGGACATGGGCCGATATCGTGGAGTAAGTCGCAGTTTTCTGAGGCCAAATCGGCGACCAAGGATTTCCCGGATAAGGGCCTCCTGATGGATACGCCATAGCGACAAAGCTACACCAAGGTACGGAATGCATATCGTAGCGATACGTGAAACTTCGATCATGTCCGTTAAAAAGCACATTTATACTTCAGTACCTAGGTACGTATCTACTAGAAGGTTGTCAAATGCAAAAAAGGGCGATATCTCTTATTTCTTGCATGTGTCTTTATTACATGTATGTTGACAGCTATCCACTGTGCTATGGAATGATGTGAAGGGGTGCTGTTAAACACAATTGATTATATCGGCTGTCTGTACTCATACACCGGCTTTTGGGACCTTTATTCCGTAGCCACAAACCGGCCTATGCCAGAGAGCCCGGCTATGTGGCTGATATCTTGACATCATGGACTCAAGTCTGAAAAGCAAATTCTACCTTCAACAACGACATGTAAGAATAGGCATTGCCGTCGCGCTCTAAGCCGGTCATATTAGCCAAAGTCATACAATGGGAGAGTCACGCGTAATATACTGGTTTCGAACAGACCTTCGGCTTCACGATTCCCCTGCTCTGGGGGCGGCTCTTGATTTAGACCCCAGTGTCCTATGGCCTATATTCACATGGGATCCTCACTATGTATACAGGGTCAAGGGGGGGATAAACAGATGGCAGTACTTGTGAGCGTCTGGTTTTAGATGTCCGGATTATGAAATCGGCCGCTAATTTCAGCAGACTCGACTGTCAGACTGATCTTTCAAGGTCCATTCGAAACCTGAATCCCAAGTCTAAACTCTTCGTTTTACGCGAAGCTCCGCAAACCCTATTTCCTAAATTGTTTAAGGCGTGGAATGTAACGCATCTGGTATTCGAAAGGGATACGGATGCCTATGCCCGGGAAAGAGATAAAATAATAGTAGCATTAGCGGAAAAGGCAGGCGTCCAAGTGGTTTCTCGGTATGGGCGCACGCTATGGGATAGCGATGAGATTGTTGCTAAGCACGGGGGAAAACCAACTATGTCTATAACCCAACTCCAAGCTGTCGGTAAAAAAGTTGGGGAGATACCAAGGCCGATACCCACACCAGATCATCTCCCAGATCCAGGAGATATGCCTACAGATTTTAAGCAGAGAAAACCAGAAATTGAACCTGATCTTAACACTGCGCTCCGGGATAATATTGAAAATACCTACTCACACATTGCAGGGCCTAAAGGAGACTTCGCTATTGCGACTCTTGAGGAGCTTGGGTTCCCGGCCGCAGCTACTACACCGCACCGTGGTGGCGAGACAAATGCTCTAAAACAACTGGAGAAAATTTTCTCAAATGAGAAATATGCGGCTACTTTCCAGAAACCGAAGACCAGTCCAGCCGCTTTTGAGCCGCAATCGACGACCCTATTATCGCCGATGCTACATTTCGGTGCATTATCGCCACGCCTTTTCTATTGGAGAGCGCAAGATCTAGTCGAAAAATATGGAAAGGGGGCATCCACCCCTCCTGAGAGTCTAACTGGGCAGCTTTTGTTTCGAGATATGTACTTTGCGGCCCAGGCAGCAATTGGATCTCCTTTCGGTGAGTTGAACTTGATATCTCATAGTTCTTGGTTCCAGCCCCGATTCCGGTCCTATACACGCAGGTTTCTAACTCTATATGCATTACAGCCCAAACGGTCAATAATGCATATTGCAGGTTTATCCCTTGGCACCTACCTTCAAAAGTAGGGGAACCCGAGACAGGTAGTAACGCAATTAGTGGTAAATACGACGTTGACTCACCACAAGCAGAGGAATGGTTTCTGCGTTGGAAGATGGGTGTGACTGGATTTCCGTTTGTTGACGCTCTGATGCGCCAGCTACGCATTGAAGGCTGGATCCATCATTTGGGACGCCATATGGTGGCTTGTTTCCTCACTAGGGGTGGATGTTACGTTCACTGGGAACGTGGCGCCGACGTTTTTGAAGAGTGGTTGATCGACCACGAACCAGCTAGTAATGCCGGCAATTGGCAATGGATGAGCTGTACCGCATTCTACTCCCAGTACTATCGGTGCTACAGCCCTGTAGCTTTCGGACAAAAGTGGGATAAGAAAGGTGAATTTATAAGAAAATGGGTACCTGAGTTGAAGGACTTGGATGAAAAGTTTATCTATGAGCCATGGAAAGCTACCAAAGCACAACTTGACAAAGCTGGTGTGACAATTAAAGGGGACGGGCTTCGGGAGAGAACAGATGGCACGTACCCTGCTCCGATGTTTGATTTCGGGCAGAGGAGAAGCACGTGTATTGCTGCAATGAAAAGGGCTTACTCCATTGGGATATATGGGAATGATGATAGAGTTAAGGATGGAACATGGAAACAACTATTTGAAGAAGCTGGTGAGACAGAGACGGAAGGTTTTGGCAGAAGCAGCAGCAATCAAGATGGAAGTGGCAAGGACGGGCTTAAGCACGCAAATCAGGACACAGAGGTAGTTAAGGAAGGGCCGATGGATAAGTTTGCTAAGAGACTGAAGAGGTAGGTAATAGGTAATATTATTACCTATTACCTAAAGTATAACAATGTCCGATTTCAAGTCTTACAACTACCTAGGTAGGTACCTAGTGTGTTGTAAGTTGCGACTCAGATCGAAACTTCTACTAACATCAATGCTTTACATTCAACGTTGTTACTTCTCCTTTCTACCTTCCACATAGGCCCCTGCTTATATAAGAGTCTGTCTGAGCAACTGCTAAAGTAAAGAATATCCATAATAATCAATGGCCATGTGTAGGTAGGTAGCTTTAACTTTTGCCCAACCTCTTACAATATTTTATTAACATCTGTTGTTTTAAATATCGTCAAACCCCCCACGAACTGGCTGTTCCCGACATAGTTCATCTTGGACATTACCTCAGCTTTGTATTGAGCAGAGATTTAAGGTCTATCCGTTCGCTTCTTTGTACGAAGCCTCTGCTCGGCTACAGGTATTCTCTTGATATCCTCATTACAAAACACATCCACAGTAAATTCCCCTTCAAAGACAGTCGCATTTTGTGATGCCAACTAAACAATCTAAGCAACTTCGCAGCACGTTTTGTCGCCGAGCCAAGCGACGAAACACAACCGCTACCACATTTTACGACAGAATAATCAGTCGTAGCCAGAAATATCAAAAGGAGCATAATGCTATGTTGACCCTAGCCTTACCCAAGATGTATTACTCAAACTACGACGATGGTCCTAGGCAGGCCCTGAAGCAGACAATGCCCCCTAAGACCTTAGCATCGCCACTTATTTCTCAGCCTGCTACTTTCTCACGCCCCTTGAGTGTACAACGTGCCTCTTCTAGAGAGATTTGTGGCCTAGCCCTGGGAATATGTTTCCTGGTCCTGCTTATGGGATGGCTTCTCTTGGTAGGAATACGGGTGAGCATCAGGTCTTTACATGAGGGAAGAGGCAAGGCAACTCGGAAGATGGATCTCGAGTGCTGTCGTATATTGGAGGAACGACCCACAATCAAAGATAGCTCGCTCTTATCTAAGTTGAGGAAAATATCGGCGGAGGAACTCATCAAATCGGCCTGGCGTAAGGGTACAGACCTTGCTGCTAGCATCAGAAGGGATGCATGCGAGCTTGGGAGACCGACATATCCCATACCCGCAATAGATGAAGAGACGGGTCTTGGCGTGGTGGGAAACAGTGGAATTCAGAGACGTGGTTCTTTTTTACGCACAACATGCCGGGGAGCGGGTGTGCTGTCTGTCTAGAGGAGCAGCTAAAGGTTCGACGTAGGAAAACCCGCCGCAGGATCCTCCGCCTATTTCAGCGGTCAGTGGACGTCGAGGAATGGTGATGGGGTTGATAGTGCTAGTAATATCGAAAAGCAATTTTGGATGCGAAGGACAGGGGCTTGGTTGAAGAATAGAGCTCTTACGGCCTTCCAGGGTTTCTAATCATTCATTATATACGTCCCCCCTAAAGCGTTTGATATAGGTACAGAGCGTCCCAGAAACTTATGTTTACCCCACTGCTATATCACTGCGTAACAAAGTAAGTTTTTTGTGTGAATATAACTCGTTCCAATTACGCCCGTCTCAGCATGGTCAGGCCGTCTCTATCGGTGCTGTTTCTGTTGTACAGGTATAGATAGTAATGCTCGCGAATGTGTTTTTTCTTTTTGTCGAGATGATCCCCTCTAAAGCTACGCTCTAGCTTCCCTTCATGCCCTTCTCTTTAATTCTTGAGATGCCTGTTTCAAGCTCCAGTTGCACTCCTCGTAGGCCCTACCGGCGCCGAAACCCACTCCCACGAATGCGGGCCACGCTCTTCGTCGGAATAAGAGAACTGAGAAGACGATACCGAATCCGAGGCCGAGTGACGACTTGATGAGCATGTTGGAAATGCAACGGTCCCACTATGGTGTTCCCGTATTAGCTGACCCTTATGCGATGACGGTAGGTTAAGGCTAAGAGTAGTAGTGCCATACCTTCTCGTTCAAAAGTGCCTCGCTCACAGGTCTAGAGACCGTACTAGGCGGCGCGGAGACCGAGCTGTCTGACATGGTGACAAAGACTAATAAAATGAATAATTAGTGGCTATTAAAGACATGGAAGTTTTCGAGGAGCTTATACGGTAGGAATTGGGTATTTCTCTTCTTAGAGGTTACCTTAGGTACCTTAGGTAGGTATGGCTGAATTGTCGTTATTTTTCGATAATATTCTCTTTTCGGCACCAGAGCAATCAGATCATTGATACAGCTTAATCGGCTTGTGCTTCCCTGGCAGCAGCCTGGTACCCGAAGGCGGTAAAAACTAAATAGTTCCCTTTTGGGTTAGCGCCAACGGCAGAATTCTTGATATGCCCGACTTTTTTTTTTTTTTTTTTTTGAAGATGGTGGGGAGTTCCACCAAAAAAGTTGGAAGCTTTCAATTTTCGAGTTGTCGCGAACCATTGATAGTATAACATTTCGACACCTGGCAATGCCAGTAGAGATCCAATTACAAGATGGTGGTGGATAGTGACTTAGGGGTAGGCTTATTCTATGCGCTCTGTGCTTCTAAACAAAGTAGTGTAATACAATTGGAACTAATTCAATAGCATATAGTCGCGCCGGCTTGTTCTAATTAAAGCTGTGAGGTCCCTCGATGAAGATGGAACAGTTGGGCTACCCGACAAAATTCAAAGGCTTTGGGCTTTACATTCAGCGACGAAAAGTACAAGATTTCACGGTGTAGAGGAAAATATACTACGATGGCTATTCAAAAATATGAGCGGCAAGACAGAGGATGCTGAACATGTTCGACGATATCCTCTCACCTGGTCTCTTCTGAGCCATGTATTCCCTAAGATCCCACCGCAAACGCTAGGAAGGTCGCTCGCATCTCTTCGTTTTGTCTCCGTCCTGCACCAAGCTATCGGCGACATCACCACGGCTCAAAAATCTTCACTCGAATCGGCAGTTCAGACGAATGGCGTTACCCCAGATAAATCGAAAAAGAGGAAGAGAGACGACGGATACCCTTCTGATATAAACGAGCTCCGCACCCCCCTGGGATGCATCAAGTCGGCTACTGAAATATTCAAGGCCTTAAGTAGCCTCCTTAACCAGGGAGTGGATCATATAGGCCCTAGCAGTCCGGAACGAAAAGTTGGAGCCGAACATATCAAGTCGCTCTTCTCATCATCTAACGAAGAAACTAGAGACATCGTTGCGGGGTTATTACTGACGTGCGATCGCTCCCTAAGCGTTCTCGAAAACGGCCTTTCCGGGGATCAAAAACGATGGATTAGAGTTGTCACCACACTTTGGAATCTCCGCGTTCACAATAAGGACGACAGCCTTGAGTTTGCCAAATATGCATATGTACCCGTATGTTCTATTCTGGCGAGACTACGTTGTCTTGTCGGGGCAGCGCCTATAACTGCGGCTAGCGATGGGACCAAGAGACTTTGGATTCGGCAGCTTGAGCAATTTTTGAGTGCATACTTTGTTCGTCCTGCAAGGCATACGTTCGCGGCAGACGGAAATGTTGAGGTACTAGAGACTGCCCTAAATCTCTCAAAGAGGAACTCGGGTGGCTCTGCCATCGTAACATGGGACGTGGCAGCGAGGATGTCCCGTGATTCGGGTAGTCCAAAATCTAAAGCGGAGCACTCATCATGGGCACAAAACGTCTTTATAACCTTGCTCAAATCTATTCAGCCTCTAGAGTCTTCTGTTCGAAACCAAGTTATCATTCAACTGTTAGATACTGCTATCCAGACCAACTCGATTCCAAACACCGTAGCTTTACAAGCTGTGTGTCGAGAACATGGACTTGGAACAGACGAAACTGACTGGAAATTGATTTCTAAGGCTCTCGCCTGTGATGCCGATGTGTTTCTCATGGATGATTCTCTACTAGAAAATGTTTTCAGTAGAATAAGTTCCCTTTCAAGTCATGACCTCAGTACCAGACAAACGGTCGTCAAGGAGGTGGTGCTTCCTTTAGAAGACGCATTTGCGAAGGCGCGAAACTTCTCAGGCTTTATCCAGAAATGGTACGAATGCCTTAGTAATAGCGCTGCAGACTCTTTAGGCCAGTCGATATGGGTTGACGACGAAATAAGACAACATTTAGCTGGTATCCTACAAAGCGCATTAACCAGCACACAGTTGCTCCGCGTCCTGGAGCACTTAGATTCATCGGATACTCCCAATGGGGCACTTCTGGTCATTCTCGACGGAATTTCAGCGGGAATCACGGAAGAAGACTTCGTTACAACCGCGGACTCGAAGATTTTCTCCGCACTTTTCCAGGATAAAATTTATAAGAACATTCCGCCTTCGATTTTATCATTAAGATGGCGTATTGCTGGCCGGATGGCTTCTTGGGAAACGTCGGAAGAGGTAGATCGACTTTGGGTCGAGTTAAAATCTGCTCTTAAACGCATCCTAAAGAAGGGCGTTTTATCTGATCCAGAGACATTTGAAGCGTTCAAATGTTGTCATAATATTTGGTTAGCTAACTACCCAGGAGGCAAGCACCAGGCCGATCTCGCCAAAATTACACTCTCGTTCCTTGAGCGGGTCAACTCGAATATGAAAAACGACACTAAGCTCTCTGCCTCTCGGCCGTATATAGATTATGTGTTTCAGTCTTTACCAAGACTGGCTGATTTGCCAAAAAGAGAAGCGGTTGACCTCAAGGATCTCATTGTAGATATGTTCTCTCAGACTGAACAGCGTCTCATAGTCGAGAAGGACACCTTACTTAATGACGCTTTACGACCCCTTCTGCAAAATTTCGATTGCGAAGATAATGAAGCGTTAATCGACGCTCTCATATCTAAACCACTTGATGGCCTTGATAATACAGAGAATGAGTCAGGCTGGACGCAACCGCGGGGCCTTTCGACACTTTCAATTCTCCTGGAATTTCCACGTGAAGCCTTAACTAAGGGGCGTCGAAAACGTATCATGTCTTCATGGAAAAATCGGAGATCAGAAGTAGCTGACCGTGCATCACGGGATTCATTATTTGCAGTAACTGTGCTCAGGTTGTTGGTGAAGGTAATGCAGCAACCAACGTTTTACGAAGTGAGTATTTACTTCCATATTTAAGCATAAATATTGACCATTCTATTAGAATATGAGCTTTGATGATCTTGTTTATATCTCTTCCAATATGTGGAAAGATGACGAGAGGGTCGTTGAGCTACTTGAAAAGCTTATGGACTTGACACTACGGTTAGTAATTATGTATGCCCTTTAATACATCCTGCATATCTAACCACATTCCAGGCAAATGGTTACTAGCGCCGATGGACCTTCATTAACCTACTTGGCTGAGGTGTCAAGCTTTGCGAAGAGCCTTGAGCCGAAGGCGTCAAAATACACAGCCGCTCAGATTCTTCTAGTGAAGAGCACACTGTCCGCGCTGCACAGTTCCCCGAACAAGTCATATAACTCTAGTATAGATGTGGGCGAAGTTGCCCGCAAACTAGAGCAAATGGTACAAGCCAATTTGAGCAAGTTTGTGTCTGAGAACAAGAAGAAAGAATTGGCTGCGGACGATGAATCTACTTTGATATCACTTTCTATAATGTTAAGCGGGGCGACATGTGTTGCTGATACTTACGAAGAAAGGCAAATTGAGCTCACAGAGAAGACAATCTCCCAATTAGAAAGTATAAGTACATACTTCATATCTAAGAAGGTCAATGTTGGCTGGAAGCTGCGGACATTCCTTCTTAGAAATAACCCAGGCCGATACGATTTGCGAGAGTTTTTGGGGCAACTGGAGCAAGCATCTACGACAATAGATGAAGAGGCAGTATTCAATTTAGTCGATGCCTTTGTGAAGACTCAAAGCCAGCCCGTAAGGGATCAGCTGCTTGGCGAATTAATTGGTAGTGAGAAGCTGACCAGTGGCGCTATTGGGCCTGTTCTGGCCGTCAAGAGGCTTGTTGAGCTACGCCAAGGTAAGTTTTTCTATAATGGAAATTGCCAAAATTTTATATCTAACGTCATATTAGGTCCAGCTACCTCATCATCCAGTGGTGAACCCCAATATACTATTGACCTTGGCGTAGTCCATGAGCGACTTGCCTCTATGCTAAGCCAGGCGGGGACTCTCCGACACTTCCAACAACTGTCTGAGCTTTTATTACTCCTACTTGATAAGCACGCCAACTCGATGACCCAGTTCAATATCGAGACAACATTAAGCAGCGTTGTTCACGTGTGCTCACAGGCAGGTCCTAATGTTGAAACTCCTAAAGCGGCGGGAGAAATTTACGATCAGTTATACCGATTAGTAGCTCTCATACTCAAACGACACCGGCTTCGCCTAATGGGACATTTCCCGATCCTGCTTGCCGCATTACGAGCACTCCTTGCTACTTTACTGTCCGACCCTAGTTCAGATGACGCAAATGAAACATCCTCACAGGCTCGTCCACCGTGGCTTGGATCTCACCTGCAGTCGAGACACGCGGAACGATTCACTCGCCTCCTCACTCTTATATGCGAGCCAAGTGCAGCTTCGGTAGCCCGCGCCCGGTCAAGCGAATTAGATTCCGCCACAGACATTGCGAAGCGGATAGCGGGGCAAGACATGTTCACCATACTAGAACTATACATCAAACTTCAGCTTGAGGTGAAGGTTCCACGAGATGTCAGAAAGGCTCTTGAACCTGGCGTGTACTCGATCCTCGATATCACTCCTCAAGGGTGTAGGAGAGTACTTAACGAATCCTTGGACGCCAATGGACGTGCCATCTTCAGAGAGATGTTTGCGGATTACAAAAAGTTTGGGAAATGGACGGGTGTCTAAATCGAGTCTTTCCCTCCGAATCCATACCATTGGTGTGGGTTCTTCACACCATCAGCCCGAATATAGATTCAAATATCCAAGAGATGTGCCCGTAGGTGGAGCAAATTACCGGGAAATTCCACGGCCACATAAACTTATTGGCTTACCCGTATTATTGAACTTATCAGGTAGCCACATCATGAGAATGGCCATTATAGTATATACCCAGGTAATCTTATACTCTTAAGGGTTTAATCCAGCTTGGAAGTCCTCCCAGTCAACATCAACATCCCCGGATATGCTATAATGAGAGCCTGTTTTCTAATTTTTTAGTCATTCATAATACGTCTTACAACTTAGGAATGCGTAACGTCATTGCTGCAGGCGACGACGGCTCACTTGGCGACGTTGGTCATAGTCTGGTTACCAACTACGAGACAGGAGATTTGGGCTAAGACAAGATGTTGGAATCTGGTGCAATGCAGCTTATCATTGCGCCATAGGGGGATAAGTGGTGGGTATGTTCGTATGTATGTAGTTTAAGCACATGCTGTAGATGTGAGGGTATAGGACCCGCTACTCTGGAGACGGTTCACACCGAGATCCGGAACTGGATTACTGCGTCAAGCCGAGGCGGACCGGCGGCCTCTTAGTGGATCGACTTATCCAGCCTTATAGCCCTTTCTTGCAGGCATCGCACTCCGCCATCGCACCGTAATTACCTACGCCGAACCAATCTATTGTCAAAACTAGCATTTCGGTTAGTCAAGATGAACACATCTTCATTTGTCATAATCCCGAGTTTTTTCCTTCTGCTTCATACCCGGACATCCGCGGAAAATAGGTAAGTTAGGTACCTAACATAGCAAGTAGCATAGCAAGGTTCATCATCAGCTCCATGGCCTGATTTTCGAAGTAAGCTGGGGCGTTTATTAGGGATGACAGCTTTTAGGGGCCAATTAAATGCTGATTCCAAGGAGCTGCTAATTACCTACCTACTACCTATGTACCTACACATAGTCGGGTCTCACTCGACTAAATGCCCAAGAGTCCAAGACTTATGATTGCGACATCTGAAGGGTTCCGGCAAGCTCGCCGAGGCATGGCGAACTAGAGCGATCGCCAAGGATGCGATATCCAGGGGAGGTCCCTGTCTTTGTCAATTCTAGTTCTGTTCTATCTATCTGCCCTCGCGACGCGCCGAAAAAAATTCATTCGCGCTTAAACCGAGTTACTAGCTTCGACTTCCTGCAAAAGCCGGGCCGATTCCTAGTATCCGGACGGGCCAAGAGATGACGCCGGCGCGTGGCGAAGACGACACCGGATCAAATCGCGAGAGCTTCGGCTGATGTTTCTTCTTACCATATTATCGTTAAAGCGAAATCCTCTTTTCGGCGACGAGTATACTAAAGGGAAACCTTGTATACCTAATATAGTATAGCAGCGAACGTTCGCGGGTCATCTCAACACGTGGCGGATAATCCAACCGAGTCTAGGTTTGACGAAACGTTGTAGACTTATATACCGAGATCCTTGGTTGACGGCGAGAAGCTCGCGGGACCTACTAGTTTGAGGATAAGATCGGCAAGTTCCTCCGTAAATGTTATGTTGGACGCGTCTAGCAGATGATAGCAGCCCGGTATTCCGACCAGTTATTTACATTAGTATCGTATTTTTTGGTCCAGCGTCGGATGTATTATTAGCTGCGCCCTTTGGGTGTTCACGAACCACCTCGTCGACCCATCCAGCCATCGTTAGGTTGGTAGTAGTCGGCAATGAGAAGTGGACAAATCAGAACGTGAGATGGGTAAACATGGCTTTACCGAAGCCTATGTTCGTTCCCTCCCTTCTATCCTTCTATCCCCCCTATCCCCCGGAATGTGAGATAATTCTAGGTTCCGGTGTCAAGTTATCTCATCTCTCACAATATTCGGCATAAGAACATACTACACACACCCAGACTGCCAGACGAAGAAGTGGCTTGAGTGGACAGGAGATATGCTTCGGGGCAATGCCGCGGCAAATCCGTGCCGTTTACAGTGTGGCCCACATCACATCTCGGTCGCCCTACACGGCTTAGGCCGTTACTTGGCGTCACCCGAACATCGCATGTGGGCCAATTATACATTTAATTCCCTGATTGCACATTACTCCCACCGGCTGCCTAATTGGGAGACTTCTCCCTAGAAGCCGTAGAGGTGTTAACGAGGGAAAAAAAGAAAAGACCAAGAGGGTTCGGTGATAGTCCCGGTATAGTAGCCCGTATATATGCTCCTTTTTGGTCATAATGGCCTTATCGTCATCTTTTGATGTTCTAATATAGGCATTGGTATTTTTCCTTTTCTTTTTTTTTTTCTATTATAATCGAGTGAGTTTTCAGATGTAGCTTAGGTACGTTTCTTTTTTTTGCCTGAGATGCCCGTCACAGTCAGGCCGTCAAATCATGGGTCAGCATCCTGGGCAGGTCGTAGATATCGACTCGCGTCGTCGCCGGAGATATTGCTGCATTACACGCTGACCGACGACACGCGCACCAGCCCGCCGCGGGCCAGACAGTTGGTGCAGAGCTCGTTCGCGGCGCTCGAGAGGAAGGATAACGTCTTCGCTACCAAGAATGGATTTGTTCACGCGTGCGTGGATGCCTATAATGAACATCATTGCCTGGTGATAAGGCCGGAGGATGTCTGGTTCGCCATCTTGACGCAGTTTTGCGCTTACGTTAATGGGCACGCGGAGGAGCTGCGCAAGCGGTTCTGTGTCCACGAGGGCCAGCAGGAGTTGCATATCGACGTCACCCTGGACGACGTCGATCATGGTAAATTGGCGTACATAATGACGAAAATTCTGGGTGAAAGACTGCGGGACGAGAGCCTGCAGCAATGGATCCTACCGGCTTTTACGACTACGACCAAGGTGGACCAAGCCGTCGCCAGTATCATCTTTATGGGCACGATGCAGAAGTATTTCACTTATAGCTGGGGGACGCGATGCGGGATACCGTCCGTAACTTTACTCGGCGAGGAGAGCGATTGGGTCAAGATCCAGGAACGAGTTGAGCGCATGGAGACCCTTGGCTCCGAGCCGTCCCGGTGGCTTCGACTGCTCCGGCCTATCCTGGACGGGTTTGTGACCAGCTTTAGAGAGCCAGAGGGTGAGGCCACGAGGAGGTTCTGGCAAGGCATCTGTAACGAGCACGTACCTAACGGCAGCGGCACTACGACCTACTCTGGATGGATCACATCATTCTGCTTCTGGGACGAGGCCGGCCGATGCTTGCACGGGCCTAAGCTGGGCCAGGAGGTCAGGCTGACGAGGAGTCAGATGCCGAGCGGGTTCAGCAAAGTCCCAGTGACGCTCTTGAACGACGGCATCGAGATCCCGACCGAGATGGTGGCGGGCTCGATGGCGATTCGAGCGTTCCGATCCAAGGATACGGTCAGCCCATGCGGCAGACCGCAGATGCGTAGAAGCGCTGGGAATGATACGATACAACCCGAAATCGGATGGATTATGTATAAGACATGACATGACTGCGCTGGGGGGGATATGGTACTATCTACTACTAAAACTAATGGTAAGTCTAGGCCTTCCTATATACCTGAGCGGAGGACATATCCATTCTTTTCTCCACAGGAACTACGACTGAGAAGGGCGTAACTAACCCGTCCTCATAGTGTAATATCAACACCAATTCCCGAGTTTGGGAGCTGCGGCCCCTGCTGCCGCGAGCCTTCGCTACCTAGTACTTAACCAACAGCCTCGGATCGATGCAAATATCCAATCACATCAACCCCACCCCCCGGGAAAGGGGGAGGAGGGGTTACGATTGATTGATTCATAACTAACTTCGAAGGATGATGCAACCAACAACCAAAACCAAAATGAGGACTCCTTCCTAATTTTCGAAGGAATCATTCTATCCTCCAGACGTATAATCACATTTATAATAAGAGACAACCAACCAACCAACCAACCCCGCCTCCTCCTCTCTCTTTCAATCCCTCGTATTAGAAGCAGTCGGGCTCTCGCGGGCAAGTATTCCGACTTGCGGGGCTGGTTAGGGTTGATGGTTATTCGGGCCGAAGAATTTTTTTTAAAAAAAATCTACCTAGACCTAAGGTACTTGTCGTAACAGGTATCTCAGGTGGATACATATGTATTCTCTCTCTCTCTCCCCCTCCCTATCCCTCGTTTCGCTCGCTTGCTTGCAAGAAGAGGCGTGGGATTGGACTGGGCTGATTACCCGTCGTTGGATAAATCCGACGCTCCTCATAAGAGAATGGACCCCGTTCGTGTTGACGAGAAAGGTTCGGAGTCTGACGAATGAGAAAACAAGTACATCGCAAGGGATGATAGTGCTTTGCTTGCCTTGTACCGAGAGAGCGGTACTGCTGGGGGGGTTGGGTTATAGCGACTGGGGATGTTGTATAGGTTACCTTACCTAGGTAGATAAGGTAGGCTAGGTAACTGACACGGCTCCTTGGGCTTAATGGTTAGATGCCGTACCTAAGGTATGCGAATATCCGGGTGTGAGAACTGTCGGCTTTCTGGGAAGGAGTTCTTGTCGAAGCTGGGCTTCGACTCTGGTTAAAGCGCGGTAGCGCGGGTGCGTGTATGTATATAGGCGATGATGTCTTTGGAGTTGGATATACATAAATAAGATACGGATATTGTGTACATACAAGTATGAGATGCGGGTGTGCGTCAACAATACCTACCTACCTAGGTACCTAAGGTAGATAGATAAAGCTATGGGACTAGGTAGTCCGCGAGATTTTTATAAGGCATGTTGTATGCTAGCGCAGAACTTTGGAAAACGTGCCTCTTACTGACATACGTATTATGAATACCTGCCTACCTAACCTAGGGCACTTACGCATATATACCTTCCTGCTCGTACATAATAATATAAGACTTCAACGTGGCTTTGGGGAAGAAGATAAGTCAAAATCTACAAAGTCGTGTAGGTGAACAACGTACCTAATGTAAGAGACCCGAGTCATCACAACAGGAGCAACTATAGAGATCGACTAGGAATCTACGCCGGGCTGGCTTAGGTACCTGCTATTCTTAAGACCGCCTTGGGCAATATAAATTACGAGGTATGTATCAAGAAGCTCAGAGATCCAACTGGACGACTTGCCTCGCCTAGTGCTTTAACCCCATTCTCGCTTCTTCCTCTTCCCCTCTTCCCCCCTAGCAAGGACAGGCCATATGACGACGTCTGTGTATTAGTTCAACTAATCCCGGGCCAGAGCCCAAACCTCCACAATCTCGTCGCGAACTCAGGGAAGCGTTGATAATACCTAGATAAGGTTAGGCAGGTATAAGCTAAGGCATATAGATAGGTAGGTACAAGGCGGAACGTGAAATGCACAGGCTATAATTCTTCATCTTGGCAACGGGAACTGGGAGGAGACTCCTGAGATTTGAGCTTAACTGCCTAGGTACCTTAGGTAGATTAGGTACCTACATAAGATGCTTTACTGAATACCCGAGTAGCCTGTTGCACATGACAGGAGATACCACAAAGGTACCGTAAGTATATAGTGTTTGTTCCGCCACACGAGGTTTCACACAGGCACTTCAAGTACACTATACATACCTACCTACCTAAGGTACACACTACCTTTTCAGAGGCTAGGTAACAGATATAAAGAAGGCCGAGAGCATCAGGGAACGCAGGGCTTAGGGTATCTCTACCTGAACAATATATATACTTCCTTAGAAGGTACATAAAGAATTAAGTCTAAGCTTGATCCCACCGAGATGTACCTAGTCCTAATCCCAGTCTACCAAACCCCTTGGGATCTCGCAGCTAGCTATGCAGATGGGTTGTTGTTACATTAGGTACCTATGTAGTAGCGCATAGTTAATTTTAGCCTCATGGCAATTACCTACTCCGATCTTGGCTGTCTGGGTATGACTTGCTGATTAGGACCGCGAAAGGAAGTTAGATAGCTTAGATACCTACCTTTATAAGTCACCTATATAAACCTAGGGCGGGCTCGTGTAGTACTTTTTCTATCGAAGGGTACCTAATGTAATTTAGATGATGGCTGGCACTGGTAGCTACGCCAAGCTCGCGGGGATAGGTAAAGGGGTATCTCTTCTCAGCATGGTTAGCTGAGAGAGAAAGAGAGAGAGAGAGAAGGGGGGCCTAGTTTACGACACGATACCTATCTAGGTACCTATGGAAAGCTCTTGACAATAAGAGCCAACGACCTATCAGCTGAGTCGTTCACTTAGGCTCCGAGGTAACAGATTTGGATTTTACATTCGATAAGATGACCCCGGATACCTGGGTATCCGGGCTTATAGCTTCGGACTTGCTTATCTTGGGTACCTCCTTTCACGCTTCAAGTCACACATAATTACGTCAAGTCTCACAGTGGGTGACCATCTTACAACAAGCTTATAACTCCTAGAGCCGTCTTAACGCTGAAAAACGGAGTTACCTAGATCAAGTTGAAGGCGCTCGCTCCCAATGCGTTGAGTATCTTACACAACACAACATAAGATCGGTCTTATGGAGAATCCAGGCCGGACAGCAAATCGGATAATCAGACGAAAAAATGCACAGAGAGATTAAAGTTCTTAGGGGATAAAACACTGTATTTTACCATAACACCGTATATACCTTCCACCCGGGTTTGCATACCCCTTTTCATGTGCCCTTTTCTCTGCCTCGCCCTACCCCCGTCACCAACCATTGCTATAGAAAATAGTAACATAGAGCCGAAGATGGGTTTTTATTAGATGTCTCGGATTTTGTATAGTAGCAACCTATAGGGATTATCGCCGCCCCATAGATGGTCGCTATCTTGTAGTAATCGTCGGCTAGAAACCGGTAAACGAGGGCGTAAGCGGATTGGACAACCCCGATCTTCGTCGGATCAGCGGATGCGTAGCCTCCCTGATTCCAGTCTACCCTCGCGACATCATACGTAGATTGGCTCGTAGCTCACTTAGCGAGATAACCTCTTAAGCTTTGTTCAAAACAATCCGATGAGCTCAAGAATCCGGCCACTGATCCACAAGTTTGTCTAACCTTCCATCCATCAACGCCTCTGCATTCATCCTCACGCTATACCTCAGCACCTTAGTCATCTTCTCCTGAAGACCCTCGCCGTGATCCGAGATATCGCTGTTGCTCTTCTTCGGGCCCGCGGGGAGATGGATCTGGAACAGCGATGGCTCCACGGTGAGGCAGTTATGGCGGCCTCGACTAGGCTCCCCGGTCCCTTCGCAGAACCACCTGAGCTCGATGTCGAACGCCGAGGTCATATCTTTCAGCCCGAGCTCGTACAGGAGCTTCCGCGCGCCCTTTTGCGTGACCGCGTACGCTAACGAGCAGACGCCATCCTGGACGTGGTGCACGACCCTCGTGTGGCTCGGGTACTGCTGTCTCAGGTCGCTCGGCTCGTAGATGGACCATAGATGCTTGTGCTGGGGGACGGTGACGTCGTCGGGGCGCACGACGCGGCCTTTCGGCACGATCTCCTTGTCGGGGAACGGGAAGTGCATCCCGCAGTGGCCGAGCCACAGCACGTCCCAGTTATCGCCGTACGGAGAATTCCTCGGCGCGTCCGTGGCGGGTAACTTGCCGAAGGTAAGATCCGGGACGGCCTCGGGACCATGCGCGGCTTCGGGGAACGTCGGGTCGGAAAACTTGTTTGACGAGCCTTTTAACGGCTGGGTCAAAGCGTGGGCTGATAGCGCGAAGTCGCGCATCTGCTCTCTGATCCTAACATCCCAGTCGGCGTCATCTTCCATGATCAATGCCGAGGATAGATTTCTTCGGACGACCCTAAGAGATAGTTAGAAAAAAAAAAAAAAAAAAAAAGCGAGGCTCTGTTTCACGAACTCTTGAATTGCGTTAATGTGCGCCCGCCAGGCTCCCAAGGTGGGATTGTCTAAACGTTGAAGTTCATGGCTGGTCGGGATAGCCTTGTCAGGTATATCTTTGCCATCCACGCCGTCTATAAACTCAAATTCGAGGTTACTTAAGGCCGTCTGAAGTATTATCCCATCGCGGCGATCTGTGCGGGAGGGAAGGCCGATGACAAATATCTTTTGGAACTATTTTGACAAGGCTACAGTCAGACACATGTAAAGGTAGTAGGATACGAAATAGGGTCCAAAACTAACGCCAAGAGTATTGTTGCGAGTATCGTCGATATCCGCTAATTCGTGTTGTGGGGTTGTAGTGCTTCCAGAGGTGTTGAGATACGGTACGCCGTGTCCCCGCGTGGAAAGAAGGTATACTGAAACAAGCAAGAGGGCGCTTGCAGCGATGAGGACGGGATAGGAAAGTCGGCGTGCTGACGAGACGAGTAAAGACATTGGGAAACAAAAAGTCAGTATCCCATGTTATTTTATTTCATTTCATTTTATTTTGGTTTAGTTTAGTTTAGTTATTTCCTTAAACCAGTATGAGAAAAGTTAAAAAAAAAAAGAGAGAGAAATCAAAGTTTCAGCTACCCGCAGATCTGTAAGTTCCAAGTTGGTTCTGTTCAATTGTACGGTGTTACGTATCGTATTGTAAACCGTACGTAAGGTACCTAGGTAATGCGGCTATGGAGACTAAGGTTAGTACCTACTGGCCTTAATCCCGGGATCGTAAAGATTTGAATTTAAATTTAAAATAAACTTCAGGGGGGCAGATCATTCAAACCAATAGGCCGACCTGTAAAAATGACGAGTGGCTCCAGATTGTTCAGCTTACCGCTGCTTGGCGCTTGTTATTATGCGCGTTTGGAACTGTTGGTAACAAAGAAAGCCGGAAGAGGACTAGCGTCGGCAGGTCTTCGCTCTTTGAAGTTACCGTTTGGCATTCTGCAGCTTAGTATGCTTAGTATGTGGGTCCATTGGTAACTACGATCGCAACTGCCATAGTACTAGGTAATATTGATCTCGCGTGGAAGTGACCATACCTACCTCACATAGGTAGATACCTTCCAGGTTGCATTCTATATCAAATCTGTCTGCTGACACATGAAGTTTAAAACCCTTAGGTACCTGTATAGTTATACAAGGCTATTATACAGTTCTGGATTATCTACTATGAATACCTTAAGGTATATACCTAACATAATATATCTACGTGTGGCAACATACCTCTTATCCGTACGCCAAGGTATAACGAAAATCGCTCACAACTTGGGGTTATGAAAAGAGAAAAGAGAAAAAAAAAGAAAAAGCCCAATTCTGCGTGTGTTGGGTCTAATCCAAATGGACCACCCCCGAATAGTCCTAGACTCCTTAAAGCGAAGGCACCTAATGTCCTCATTGCAACATAGCCGCCAGGATTCAGCTCCACGTTTCATAAATTATTCTTTTCTTAGTGTTAGTGTATCTCCCTTATGGCTTATGGCTTGTTTCGTTGCCTTGATACTATGTAGGTACTTACGGGGAAGGGGGAGGAGAGGAGAAGAGAAGAGAAGAGAGAGGAGAGGGAAATAATCGTCAAAAGTTCTTCAACCTCTCTGATATCGATGAGCACCCTCCAACCCCCAACCCACTGGCCAACGCTGCTGAATTCAGCTGGCCCTACGAAAATTCTCTTTACTGATGTGATGTAGTACATACTATTGTATCACTTGTTGTTGTTGTTGTGCCATACATACCGCGATTCTCCCCGTCTCGCCTCCTCACCTCCTCACCCAACCCCCACGTCTAGACCTTTTTTGCTGACAAAAGTTTTTTGGCATCCTCGTCTCTTCCTCATCGCTGGTAATTAGGAGTTCCTTCTGTTTATCCCACACGTGAACGTTAGTTACTATGGGCTTATGAAGGTGTCGTCATTATCGTCATCGCGAACCCCGCCGGCTTTAATAATTAATAGTGGCAAGATGATGAGGCCATCGCCGCTCCTCGCCTTCGTAGCCGTGCTTGCTGCCTCGGCCGTACGAGCACAGCAGGAGTCGCTGAAAGTCGGCAAGTTCTTCAACCCGCCAAATGCTATCGACGGGCCGGCCGACTATTCGACAAACCCGGTCTGGACGCTCGGCGAGGTTCAGACTATCAAGTTCACTACCACGTATTCTAATTACACCATCGATCTATGGCAGGAGAGCCCAGCTGTAAGTCGTCACGTTGGTTCCGTTTTGTCTTTATATTAGGTACCTGTTACCATAGTTACTAACTTCCGTCGATACAGGGTAACTCAGCATCAGCTGGACCAAGCATATTCCGTACGTAGAGCACCACGCCCATCTTTCCCTGGACGTACCTAGCAACTAACTCCTAAGCAGAGACCCGGTCCGGCGCCGTAACTCAGTTCGACTGGTCTGTCCAGGCGTTCGAGTTCGACTTATCCGAATTCAATGTGTTTTTCCTCTGGCTGTCGCCGTTGACGACGGACGACCCGAACCCGCTCTCCGTCACATCGCGCTACTTCAACATCACGAGAGCCCCTGCTAGTAGCACCATCTCTTCCACTTCTTCCACCGCCTCATCTTCATCGACTGGTGCCCCCAGCTCATCTAACACCAGCCCGCCAGCCAGCAGCGCCACCCACAGCACCACTCCAGTACCCGTCGCGTCGCAGACACCAGCCGCCAGCACCGGCTTAAGTGCCGGCGCCTCGGCTGGGATCGGCGTCGGCGCTGCGCTTCTAGTAATCGCCCTCGTCGCAGGTGGTTGCTTCCTGTGGAAGAGGCGGCGGAACCACGACAGCTACCAAGCACAAGCGGCCGCCGGTACCATGGGCCCCGGCCCCGGCCCGAACGGTATCATACCCGAGATGCCGGATTCGACGCAATTCGTCTCCGCGCAGAAACCGCCGCTATACCCCGTCGAGCTGGACAGCGGCGGCGGGTACCCTCCCCATTACTACCACCAGCCGGTGCGGTTTGAACTCGACGGGTTCCGGCGCTCCGAACTCGATGGAAGCCATTAAATCTCTTTATCTAATTCGTATATATATATACCTACCTGGTATATATACATATACCTACCTACCTACCTAACCTACCTTATACTGGTTTTGGTAAATTTGCTTTGCTAGCGGTATAGGAGATTAGAAAAAGGAAGAGAAGACAAAAAGAAAAAGAAAAACGATCAGAGGACTGTTCGATGCCTAGAAATAGACTCTTGTTTGGAACCGAGACACTAAGGTACTTTCTCCACGATGTCTGGAAATGCATGTAGGTAATTAAATCTAGATGGCGCGGACTGGATGAGATGAGATGAGATGAGGCATTAGCGGATTTTGGTTATTGATGTACATATATTTTAGATACACTGCAATACCCCCTTTTTTATATATAGGTGTATGTATATTAGGTAGATACGTTATACCCCTTTGGTGTTACGGTGTTACTGGGAAATCTGATCAATTTTATGAGCCAGGAAGGCCATCTTTAGAAATTGGACGTTGTGCTAAAAGCATCTCGGTTCAATGATATCCATGCTGGAAAGTTAATTCATTGACGTTGTGTCACAATTGCAGTCATGCACCACCCTTGGGCCTTTGCACAATTGCTGTCTATACACTTTGAATAATGTTCAGTATCTATTGTCGGATAACTATTTGCCAGAAGATAAGACGGTGCCATTCATTTCAAACGCTAGGCTCATGCAACGATGCCGGAAAGGAAAGGGAAAAAAAGAGCAAAAGGAAAAATTCCCATGATAATGCCATGCTGATGCGATAATACGAGATGCCCTTAAATGCCCAAATGTTGAGCAGTCTCGCCACGATATATAGGTTGAGTACCTAGGTACCAATTACCCCGAAGAAACTATAATCCTCAAAATAAAGAACAAAACAAATAAAAGGGGGGGACCACCCTGAAAAACAGGCTTAGTGGCGGTTATGCTCCTTCTCCTCTAACTCGCGCATATACTTTACAAATCGCTTCTTATGGGTCTAGGTTGGTCAGCATGCGATATCATAAAGAAGATAAAGAAGGTTGTGGCTACGAGGCAGGCAGACTTACCATTCCGGCATAACATCCGTCTCTCAACGCGCAGATGTATCGTAACCCGAGCTTCGCAAAGCATTCGTACACAAAATCCATCGGCGAATTGATATCTAGAGCAAAAGGGGCCGGGTCTATATAGGGCGTGAAATCAGTGGGATCTCTCTCCGGAGACTCGTCCTCGTCGAGGGTCGGTATATTCGTCATGAGGCAAAGGCTAGAACTTTCGTCCTCAAGGTTGTCTAAAGCGTATTCTAAATCAGGAGCTGGGATCAGACCGACAAGTATATCATCCCTGACGATTGGCAACCCTCCATCTAACTCGCCGGCTCGATGAAGCAGCTCGAGTTGGCTGCGGAGTTGCGTGGCTGGAACCAACGGTGAGTCGCTGATATCAATCAGACGCTCTCGGCGAACACGGGGCACGATATCAGCAAAGTCGGAGGTCAATACCGGTTTATGTTTGTTATCCAAGTATGGTAAGGCATTCATATTAGTAAGGAGGTCGTAAATGCTAAGCGGCTCCAGCGCATCCGCTGTCCACTTAGCGACGAGAATGGCCAGGGAAAAGGGGAGGACGTAGTCCAAGCTTCCTGTAAGTTCGAAAAGGATGACCGCGAGAGTGACAGACAGCCTCGTCACGCCACACATTGTTGAGCCTGCAGCAATGAGTGCATACACACCAGGTTGAACACAAGTAGATGCTTGAAGGAGCGGGCAGGAACCCCAGATGCGCCAGTGCGGAAACCGAAGTACTATCCACTGAACTAGATGGCCAACAACTCTACCCATGAGGCCACCGATAACCATAGATGGAACGTAGATGCCTGCAGGCACCTTAATTCCGAACGTAATGGTAGTCAAAAACGTCTTGATGACGAACGCAGCAAGAATGTTTCGAATAATACCGGGTATGTCATCGATATCTGATGGGCACAACCCTAATTCAGAATCTCGACTGTCGTCTTGGCACGGTGCAGCGAGGTTCAAAAGAAGCTTCGCCACCGGAAGTTTCGTCAAGGTATTCCAATATCCTATGAGTCCCGTTACCAGCGCTACCAGGACGACCTCAAAGAGTGGATATTTCTTGATGACGGGAATCTTGCGGAACGATAGGGCCCAGCGACGTGAGGCCTTGATAAAAAAGGCGCCGATAGCACCGCCTAGTATTCCTACAACGATGAATCCGAATAATTCAAACCATTCCCAGTCTATTTTGTACCGTATCTCGAACATGACGATCTTGTGAGTGCCATACGGATTGAGGAACTTCAAAGACAGAGCGGCTACAATGCAGCAAAAGAAGGTACGGAAAAGCGTCTTGGCCGGGAAGTAATAAGCCACCTCCTCAAGACCGAATAGAACGCCACCAAGAGGAGCTCCAAATGCCACTACAATACCCGCCGCTGCTGCGGCAGATAATACCTCACGCCTCTTGGCGTCGTTACGATCGTACTTAGAGAACATTCGACAGCAAATGTTGCCAATACAAGCTGCAATATGGACATAAGGGCCTTCTTTACCGAGGCTTAGGCCAGAGGCCACACTCAAAATCAGACCGGCGGATTTGATGATGAGAGTCTTGGCACCAAGAAAGCCGTGCAGGACGAATCCGCTAAGAATAACGCGAACTTCGGCGACACCACTGCCAGCTGCAGAATAGTACACCATAGGTGGTGGTGGATCGACTGGTGTTCGCCGAACTGCTCTGGGACTGATACTTTCGCTGTCATCGTTATCGGTATGGTTTTCTTCTTGCTGTTGGGAAGACTCGGCGGCCAAGTTCTCATCCAAAGTTGACATTCGGTAAGCTGAAGGGATTACGGTCTTGGTGGTTAGAGTAAGTAGGCATGATAGCACCGCGAGTACAAGGACGGCGATGACATAAACCCCAAATTCGGTCCAAACCTCGCCGAAGGGGTGACCGCCGAGTACTTCGGACCAAGATCGCCAATCAGTACACGGACCGTGAGGGCAGCACCTCTACTCGCATTGTTAGCTTCTCCGCGCCCTCCGTTAAATGAGACACTGAACTATAATAGAAAGTAATAGTTACCTTCTCTCTCAAATACCAGGCTCGGGCGCAATAGCCTTCCTTATAGTCGAATATGGTTGTCTCAGCTACATCTACACAATAGGCGACAAGCGCGACTAGAACGCCAACAACCGCACTCAGTATCCAGCCTTGAGCGCCATCAAACAAGGCAACCAGCCTGCCCCAAACTCCCTTCCGACTCCGTAATTGTTTAATTCGGTAGGCATCTGCAATACTATCGTGGACCCAGTCGGTCGAGGTAAATTGGTCGTACCAGATTCGATCGTCAGCAAGAAGAGAACTCTTGGATTCCGACATGGAATCCGGTCGATCTGAAAGCGCTTGTATTAGCCGCTGTCCCCATGATTCATGCCGGTTATGATATCGCGCGGAATGAGGGGTTGCTAATAAGGAGAGGGGGATTAAATCAGTAACGCTTTAACTTTCATTCAAGACGATGCTTGCAGAGACAAACCGGCAAAGCTATGGGACCTTGATAAGTAGCCTCTAGGAGTTTCTAAGGGGCTGTGGATGCGCACGCGAGAGCGTGAAGATCGCAAGAGGGAGGTACTTTCGTCCGGTGCTTCGGATGTCGAAGGTGGCCTAGATCTTCTGGCATGCTGACGGTGGTACGTGGGTGAAGTGGGAACCGACCCATAAGAGCCCCGTGAGGGAGGTATGGCGTCGTACGTATTTTTATCTGTCATAACGTGCCGAAGAAATTGGGTGCGCGATAAGGCGCGGTAGAACGGGTTATAGAGTGATTCAGAATATCGGAGGTAAACACTAGCTAGCTCGGGTGTAAACTCAACATGAGGCGATGAGGCGCGTGAAGCGATCAGCAAGCGGGTTACGCGTGAGAGCGAGGGTGAGAGCGAGGGTGAGGATTATATGGTCATTTGAATGAAACACAAATCATATCGAACAGGTAAAGAGTTGAAATAGATTTGGATGAAGCAGGACAAGTTGGACAATTCGATTGTGGGTTCGAGATGGATTTCGAAGTTGGGGTCTTGGATTGTAGTATCGTAGCATCGGACTATCTCTTCAACCCCCCCGGTTATTCCTAGAATGAGATAGACTGACAGACTACTTCTTCTAGTGTAGTGAGTGTAGAGTCATGTAAATGCTGAGGGGGGCGTCAAGAACGTCAGCAACCGAACTCCGCTCCTACTAAACAACACTTTAAGAATTATCGTGCTTTCCGCCTCATTATCCTTATTGTAACTTGTAACCTCGCAATCTCGTAGTTTTTGTGTCCGTCTTTCCGCCTTTTTGTCTCTCCGCAGATGAGCCAATGACGAGCCAATCAACAGTAGCTATCTTTGCTTCAAGTGGACTAACATTGGTATCCAGAAGCTACTGTGATGGGTCGGCTGCTGCTAATAAAGGTCATCTGAAGATGTTAGTGGTGGGGAGGGAGGGGATTTGGGGGAATGGGGGACTGATGGAACTTGGAAGTGTGATCACGAACAAACAAGGACTTGCCTTGAAAGCTTTCCTCCATTAGGTCCTTTGATTATTCGCATCGGGGGAAACTAAACAGACCCACGTGAAACAAGCAGCTACCTTAGGTTAGGTTAGCTGGTTAGTAGGTACTGCCGCTAAAAAGTAGCTAAAATCTAGACCCAACAAAGGAACCAATAAGTTTATAAGCTCTAAGTAAGGCGTTACATCATAAGGGTCCACAAAGCGTATCTCTAAATGTAGGTACCTAAGGTACATAACCTTATCAATTGGTGTTACCTAGGCCATATGTACATGTACATAAGTCCTCTTCTGTAGGTGCAAGCCATAAGCCACAACTGTGAAGCCACTATTCAACTTCATAACTTAAACAACATTTGAACCCTTTTCTAATACCTACATCAACCATCTCGACTGTTACTACTACATAGGGCAACTAAATATGTCGTGGTAGTACGAATGGGATCAGATGCCAAATATCTTGATAAGATCGGCTATGCTGTACTCACCTGAGCTCTGATGGATGGTAAATAGACCGCCCCAAAAGTAACACCAAGAGTGACCTACACTGGCCCCTGGGAAGCTAGCTTCGAAATCTTGTGAGCTGCATGTGCAGCCAAGATAGATCTATCTGGCATACTACCTATCTATGTACCCGCACTGAATGGTCAATGACATAGTATCTTTTAGTACCTGGCCTGCATGTGGGGGACACGGAGCGGAATATTGCGTCCAACGTACAAACAAAACAAGTACACCGTAATATACCTCCCTAACCTACCTTAGGTACCTAGCCTACCTTAGGTATACTTCATCATGTCATCGAAACCAGAAAAAAAGTCCACAGTGCCCAAGTTTTCTTCGTTTAAGCCTCAACCTGAGAAACCCCAGCCTCCACAGGAAGCCAGCTCTGAGGAACTGAAACAACCTTGTACGCCTTCCGTCTCGAGGCGCGAAGACCAAGGCTCATTAGGAGACAGATCCCGTCAGACGGAGAAATCTCGTCATCAAAGGCTCCCGCAGCGACCTTCCCCACCAGAACAAGATAGAAATACTTTATTTGTATACGATAAGCGAGGTGACTCCTTGATTCGAAGATATGGCGGTAACAATCCCCGCGATATTCCCAACTACCGCCGTCTTGGATTCGGCCGTATCTTAGGGGTTGATGGCTATATGAGAATTGATCATACCGGTAGCCGTGATGAATTCTTCTTGTTGGGTTTTCGCGAAAGCGGTTCCCTGTTTGGCAGTGACAGGAAGACCCTTCTAACCAAGGGCGGTCATTTCAAATCGCAGCCCATCAGAGTTCGGCGAGAGCGATCCCAAACCGTGACGGGCTCAGAGGACTTCGTACCCCTGAAGACATCAAAAAAGCGAAAACGGGTCCGACTCGAGTCAGGGGATTCGTCGAGTGATGAAGCGCAAGCCTATAGGTCAATTCATGGCAAGAGCAAAAGTCACGAGCACTCCGATAGTGATGTGGAGTACGGTAGTGAAACATCTACGGGCTCAAAGGATAGAAGTGTGGACGATCCCATGAGCTTAAAGTCGATTGAGCTATCTAGAAGGGTTCGTGACCATCCGCAAGACATCGACGCTTGGTTTGAGCTTGTTGATCATCAAGATACTCTTCTACGGAATAGCGGGCAAGACGGTCGTCATCCTACTGCAGCAGAGGTCAAGAGCTTTGCTGATATCAAATTGTCCTTACTCGAGCAAGCATATTCTCATGCAACAACCGATTTACAGCGGGAGATGTTGCAGCTGAGAATTATGCGAGAAGGTTCAAAGATATGGGACAACGCGACTATTTCAAAGCGATGGAGTCAAGCTCTCGATAAACATGACATGAATTTTGATTTGTGGAAAGAATATACAAACTTTCAGCAGACGAGGTTATCGACATTCGGGTATGAGAAAATCCTACACCATTATACCAAACGCTTAGACCGGTTGGCGAGGGAAACTTTGATGAAACAAAATGAAGAGATTGAATTCAAACTCTACGAACAAATGATCTATGTATTCTTAAGAGCGACACGTTTCATTGCAGATTCCGGCTACAAGGAGCTTGCTATAGCAACGTGGCAGGCGGCGTTGGAATTGACGTTCGCACGTCCGTCCAACTTTCCGGAGAAAATGAGTATTGCTCCGCCGTCTGACTTCCAGAATTTTTGGGAAAGTGAAGTCCCGCGGATAGGGGAGGATGCAGCTTTAGGATGGGCAACCTTTGCAGAAGGCAGCCAAGCACTGGAGCCTCCCGAACCCAAAACTGCAGATGAATTTACATCTCCAAATACTCGAGACGGCTATAAAGCTTGGTCAATCTTCGAACAACACAAAGCCCGAGCTGCGGCAACACCCGCTCGCACCATGGATGACGGAGCAGAGGATGATCCATTTAGAGTCGTCATGTATGCAGATATCCAGGATATGCTCTTGCATCTTCCGAATGAGCTGATTCCTAATCTTCGATGCCAGCTACTAGATACGTTCTTAATATTTTGCCAGTTACCCCCAGCCTTCTCTTCTAGCAATATCGTTCGAGAAATGCTTCAGGATGATTTCCTCGTTCGTAGTCCAGCGGATCCAATTGTCATAGAGAGCTCGTCTAACCAGGTTATAAACACCGAGGAGCAAAACAAAAGACCGCCTGAGTTCGCTCATGACTATCCGCGAATGGAAGCCACGCCAGAAGTATTCTTCCCCTTGCCTCATTGGTTTAGACGTATGGGAAAGATTCGGGACAGTATACCCGCGGACCAATACACATGGATTTCGACTACATTAAAGCAGCTTGTCCATACATTCGGCGTACATGAGCTTGGTCCATACTATCTCGCATTTAAGTCGTTGAACGAACCTGGGGAAGAAAAGAAAACAGCAAAGACACTTCTAAAGCAAGATTCTTCGAACACCGATTTGTACCTGGGTTACTCGATCCTCGAATGGGCAAAAGGTAATGAGGACGTCGCTCGCAATACTATTACTGCTGCGATAGGCATACCGGTCATGTCAGTCCATAGCAAGCTCACCTTAGGCATTGCTGCTGCATGGATGGAGCTTGAGAATTGCAACTTGGCTAAAGCAACTCTCCAATTATGTGCATTGTCGGATGGCCCCTCTTCCATAAGGACAATACCGGACAACCAAACGGCTTCTACAGCCCAGATACTAAAGGCAAAGCATTTCTTATCATCAAATAGAGACTATTTATTGTCGTCAGCCGATGCCGACGAGGCCGTCATATATGCTGAAGGCCTAGCGCTTCTTGAATACTTGACTCAGCAGAGTAATAAGGAACCCTCTAGTGGGAACCAAGGGGACATTTGGTCCGCGGTATCTAGTATCTCTACATGTTCTAACGAGCTAGTGTCCCGGCATTATGGCCTTAGTAGTTGTCATGAAAAATTACTCCAATCTGCTGCTCGTTTACTCTATTATCACGCTACCCAGGGGTAAGTACACCGCCGTATCTAATCACGGAATTCTCCAGCGCTGACTAACTTGCTCCCATAGCCCCTTTAGGCCTGGACTTCTTCGTGAGCAACTAACGAAGTATATCAATTTCTTCCCCCAAAACACCCTCTTCCTCAGCCTTTACGCATGGAGAGAAGCACGTCTCAGTATCGACGACAGGGTGCGGTCGATTCTCGACAAAGTCGTCCTCGTCGACCGCTTTGACTGCGTCAGCAGCCGGGTATTCGCTATCCGGTACGAGTCCCGCACGGGGAACGTGCACTCGACGCGGGCGGCGTTCGAGCACGCGCTCGAAAGCGAGGCGTGCAGAAACCACCCGGGCCTCTGGATATCGTATATCCGGTTCTGCCACGGCAGGAAGGAATTGAGAGCCAAGGCCAAGAGCGTATTCTATCGAGCCCTCCAATGCTGCCCCTGGTCGAAGGACGTATTCATGGAGGCCTTCGCCACGCTGGTTAGGGACATGGATTCTTCCGAGCTTAAGTCGGTATATAATACGATGTGCGAGAAGGGACTGCGTGTTCACGTTGAGATGGAGGAGTTTGTGGAGGGGTGGCGCAGGGGGCAGAAGGAGAAGGAACGGGTAAGACGGTAAATGGATAAAGAAAGCCCCCTTTTCAAGCTTCAAGTAAGATAAGTACTTGGTAGCTCATACATACGTACAATATATGTACGAATATAATATTCTTCAATATAAATCTATCTAACCTTAGGACCAGCGCGAAATAGCCTTAAGCGAGAGATGCTATTACTAAGGCAACCCAAGACTTATCGTATATCCCCTCTTCTATATCGATGCCCACTCGTTACGTCGAAGAAGCGTAGACCGGGGTCTTCCAGTGAACTCTCGCACTGGTATGACTTGAAAAATATTCCTAGGGAAGCTTCATGCCGGCTTTAATAAAACTAACCGCAGTATGGCTCTGACGGTCCCGAATCGAAATCAAGATCAGACGGGAACTTTTGTCTCAGCAACGTCAGGAGTCCGTCATATCAGTCGGTAGATGTTGGCGTAGGCACCACATCCCTCGAACTGGGTATAGCCTTTCCGCTGCGCTTTATCTAGCCTGAACTCCACGGCTTCACCCAGAATTCAAGCAAGCAAGCAAGCATCTCGACGCTCCCAACGAGCTGAGCAAAGTTCTTCTTCTGCCGCCGCGTTTAGCACATACGTATCAGCCGTCCGGTGCTAGGTAGCGTTGATTCCTGGGGAAACTGGGGAAAGCATACCTACCTACCTACCTCCTCCTATGCATGGTATAGTAGCACTCATATTTAGCAGCAAAAGAGAGAGACCCTGTAGAAGCGGTGAACAGACAGCCTTATAGGGTTCCATTATCGGCAGAAAAGAAGATGAAGAAAAAAACAACACGAACCGCTCGAACAGTTAATTTACAGCCCGTGTCTGTACACATCCACATCTATCTTAGGTTAGGCAGCTTCGAAGAAACGAAGCCAAGCCGACGTCGACAAAGCCCGATGGAGGAGAGGGAAAAACGTCTTCGTCCCAGAAGAGGAAATAGCCTAAACTTATACTCCTCTTTCGAGACAAGCGAGCCGAACTAAACCGAACTGAAGCATGACACGGCATCGCATGGCATGGTATGGTATGGCATAGCATCTGCATGAGTATATTGATCCATCGGGGGGGAGCCGAAAAGAGAGGAGAACATGTCCAGCCTAGCCTAGCCCTAAGATTTGATCCCATCCCAGGCCTCCGGCTCGCCCTGGCCTGGGCTATATAACGTACAGCGCACAGGAGCAGTGATACTTCATGTTGGTCATAAATAACGGTCTCTCTCAGATATAAGGTCTCATCCCAGGTATACCACTACTCGTCAAGATAGGGGCTATGTAGATGTATGCTTGCTTGCTCAAGCCGTATGTAAATTTATAGAGAGATGGCATTTTGGGGGGGCCGATAGATGAGATAATGTACATATTAACAGGTAAGTAGGTAGCTAGCAACTAGGTAGGGAGGTAAGTAAGTAAGTAAGTACCTAACCTAAAGTACATATCTAACGTATGAGGCATAGACGTGTAGCATACGACCTCGCGGCACGAAGCGTCAAATCTAAGACATTTCTGTGCGTGCTGTTCGTGTGAGTGCATATGTATTGTACCGAGAGGGGTGTGGTCGTATATTTACCGCAGCACCTACATATACTCCTTATGCACTTCCCGCGTCGTAGGGCAGGCCAGGTTAAGTACGCCTTCCTAGGTTAGGTTAGGTATGCATGCAAGCTGGTAGGTATAAGCAGCAGTGCAAGTACCGTTTATACATACATACGTCGATGTCAATGTCAATGTCGATGTCAATATCGATGGGACGGCGCCCGTTCGTTCATGTAACCACGGGTTGGTAGTTTATATCCATTTCCCCTTAGTGTACATAAATACCTACCTCTACCTACCTAACATAGCGTGGTATACTCTATTTTGCTAGATGGACAGATAAATAAACATATCGATCTATCACTCAGGGGCTTGCAGGAGGGTGAAGAAAAGGAAAGATGAGAGCTACGGTAGGTTAGGTAGTAATCGTGGCGTCTGCGGCCGTAAGAATTTACACATATATACCTCCTACATGTATGAGGTAGGCACACACGTTACCCATATATAAGAGGTATCCTGGGGGGGGGGGGGGGGGGGGGGGGGGGGGGGGGGGGGGGGGGGGGCGGGGGGGGGGGGGGGGGGGGGGGCGGGGGGGCGGGCGGGGGGGGGGGGGGCGGGCGGGAGGGGA